TTGGCTCACTGCAACCTCCACCTCCCACTTCAAGAGATTCTCTTGCCTCAGCCTCCCTAGTGGCTGAGATTACAGACGGCCGCCACCACACCCGGCTAACTTTTGTGGTTTTAGCAGAGACTGGGCTTCACCATGTTGGCCAGACTGGTCTCAAACACTTGAGCTCAGGTAATCCACCCCCTTCAGCTTCCCAAAGTGCTGGGATTACAGGCAGGCCACTGCATCCAGCCAAGGTGACAGTTTAGAATGCTGGGTGGTCGTCCTCTGGCTTTGCTGGGTCTCCAAAGCTGTTTTTCCCTCCCACCAATCCTGACTGCACAACTGCTCTCTGGCCTGGGTGACAGAGAGGCCTTGCCACTAAACGGTGAATTTCAACTGTGTCTTTTGACGTTTTATATGACTAGTGGAAACGTTTAAATGACTTGCGTGGCTCATATTGGTGGCCTGCATGATATTTCTGTGGGACAGTGCTGTCTCCGGGGTCACAGTCTGCCCCTGGCACAGCCCTACCAGCTGCTGCAGCAGGTACACAAGCCCCTGGAGCCCTGCCTCTTGTCCAGGTAAGGAACAGTGCTGGGCCGGAATGCTGCTCAGCAGGGTGCCCTCCTCCGCTCGGCCGTTTTCACCCCATGGCTTTGGAGGGGGTTAAGCGAGCTCTGAATGAAGAGACCCCCTCAACAGGCTTTGTGTGAGCACAAGGCTGTTTCTTCACTGGGTGCGGGCGGGCTGAGTCTGAAAACAGAGTCAAGGGAGGGTGGTGGGATAGGAGCTGGTTTTATAGGTTTGGGGGAGGCAGTGGAAACCTACGGAAGTTACAGTTCAGGGCAGTTTTTGCAAGCTAGGGGGTGGGTGTTGCCAGGGTGGGGGGGTGTCACAAGGTCCAGAGTCACCGTGTTGGGTTATCAGTTAAGGCAGGCACAATGGTACAATGTCGCAAGGTCGGTTAGTTGGGCTTTGCAGGAGCTAGCCATTCTTCTTACCTCAGACTTTCTCACACGGACACCAGAGGCCATCCAGTGGTGTACGTGTGAGTCAGTGTGTTGGGAACCCTCCCGTGTGAAATCTTGCAAAGTGAGTCTCACAATACGGGTGGTGATATGCAGAGTCCCCAGAAGAAGGAACTTGAGATGAAAGGATCGGGAATACAAAGGAGAATCTAGTTAAAGGAGAATCAGATGGATGTGCAGTCACGAGGAACAATGTTTTCACGTAAAACATGCATGAGAGCACCAAAAATAATCACTACCCTTTATGATCACCTATTGTGTATCTGTCATCTATATTGTGAATGGTATGTGATTTATCTACGTGTTTTTCTTCTTGCAGTGACCTAAATAAGAGCCTGGAAAATGTATATATTCAGAACCTCTGAGAAATAAAGCTGTCGTTGGGGCACTGACTCCTCAAGCCTCCTGACCCCGCTTGTCTGTCTCCTTTTCTTCCTGCGTACCCCCCACTCAGGTTGGAATCCTCCTGCTGGTCGAGAGTTCCCGCCATCAGTGGGTCGCCATGGCTTGACTAGGGTATGGCCTATGGTGCAGCCAGTTCAGAGAACCTTGCAGAGGGCACCCAAAGAATCATCTCCATCCCAGGCAGCAGAAAGGGGGAGGGAGCTTGGGGGGAGAGGTGGTTATTGGCACACAGCTTCCCATATATCATATGCTATGTGTGTTTGCCAGGCTGCCGAAACATAGGACCCCAGACTGGAGGGGTTAAACATGTTGCTGAAATGAGTCAGACTCTAAAATATTTGAAGAGATCTACTCTGAGCCAAATATGAGTGACCATGACTGTCAGGTCTCCATATGCAAGCCTAGAGTCTGAAAGGCTGAAGTCCTGCTTGCCTCCCCACCCCCTGCCTGCATGCGCCACTGTCCCTGATCACCCCAGGACCTTCCCCGACAAGCCCCTCACCCAACCCTGCCTGCCCTCTTAACTGTTCTTATGAAAATGTAAATACTTCTCACCCAACCCTGCCATCTTAACTGTTCTTATGATAACGTAAATACCTTTCACCCCACCCTGCCATTGTAACTGAACTTGTGGTCATGTATACTCCCTGCCCCTACCCCCACCACTGTAACTGAACTTACTCTGCAACACCCACCCCCCAAAAACTACCCAAACCTATAAAACCAACTCCTCTCCCACTGCCCTTTGCTAATGCCGTTTCCCGCCTTAGCCCACCTGCCCCCAGGTGAATAAACAGCCACGTTGCTCACACAAAGCCTGTTTGGAAGGTCTCTTCATTCAAAACGCACGTTTTTCAACAATGACCTCAGGAGGTCCTGAGAACAGGTGCCCAAGGTGGCTGGGGTGCAGCTTGGTTTATACATTAAAACGTATGAATGGAGAATCTCTTGAGCCCGGGACAAGGAGGTTGCAGTGAGCCAAGGTCGAACCACTACACCCCAGCCTGGGCCACAGAGCAAGCTTCCATCTCAAAAAAAAAACATTAAAAATTTGCTCTGCATGATGGCTCATGCCTGTGGTCCTTGCTGCTTGGGAGGCTGAGGCAGGAGGGTCACTTGAGCCAAGGAGCCGTTTCCAGTGGTCGAGCCACTGCAAAAAAAAAACCATTTATACAGGTTTAGGCCCAGCCTGATCCTACACCAGGGGCCCACCCATCCAGCACGGCCTCATTTTAACTCAATTACATCTGCAACAACTCTGTTTTCTTTTCTTTCTCTCTCTCTCTCTCTCTCTCTCTCTCTCTCCCCCGCCCTTCCTCTCTCTCTCTCTTTTTTTGAGACGGGGTCTCATTCTACTGCCCAGGCTGGAGTGCAGTGACACAATCATGGCTTACCGCAGCCTTAACCCCCCAGGCTCAAGCAATCCTCCTGCCTCAGCCTCCAGAGTAGCTGGGACTACAAGCCTCCCAAAGTGCAAAACTCTTTCCTAAACTTATACACATCATTGAATTGCTGAGTCCGTGTGTTCACTCAAATAGCAACTTGCTTTTTTCCACCCCAAAATGAGTGTTACAAGTTAAAAGCTTCCGCTGGGCATGGTGGCTCATGCCTGTAATCTCAGCACTTTGGAAGTCCGAGGCAGGCAGATCATGAGGTCAAGAGATCAAGAAACATCCTGGCCAACATGGTGAAACCCCGTCTCTACTGAAATAGAAAAAATTAGCCGGCTGTGGTGGTGCACACCTGTAGTCCCAGCTACTCAGGAGGCTGAAGCAGAAGAAACACTTGAACCCGGGAGGCGGAGGTTGCAGTGAGCCGAGATCGCACCACTGCACTCCAGCCTGGTGACAGAGTGAGACTCTGTCTCAAAAAAATAAGCAAAAATTAAAAAGCTTCACCTTTCTTTTTTTTTTGAGACAGAGTCTCACTCTGTCACAGAAGCAAGCTAATTTTTGTATTTTTACTAGAGACAGGGTTTTGTCATGTTGGCCAGGCTGGTCTCAAACTCCTGACCTTAAGCGATCACCATCCTCGGCCTCCCAAATTGCTGGGATTACAGGCGTGAGCTGCCACACCCAGTTTTCACCTCATTTCATTTAACTGCTGCACAATATTCCACGGTATTATTCGAGTCCCCTACAGTCAAGACGTTATCAGATTGAGACGCTCAGGTTTCTTCCCCCTTCTTAAAAGTGTGCCTGCTTCCCGGAAGACTGACTCTGGCATGTTGGAGTAGATTCTGAGAAGCGTAACTGCTGAGTCAGTTTGTGTGCAAATTTATGAAACTGGTAGTGCCTGGTGCCCGCCACAGTGAATCTGCTCCCTTCACCATCCCTGTGGAGGAACAACGTCTAGGTTGAAGTATGGATGCACTTGGCATGTGGGTGCAAGCCACACATGGACTGCTGCCCTTACAAGCCTAGGCAGGGGGCCCAGTGAGCAGGGCTTTGGGACAGGTTCACTTTATGTAGAAAGAGAAGCTGCCTGAGGTCGGGAAGGACAGGGACTGGAGGGTAGGGGTTCACTGGTGGGTGAGAGAGGGCCAGGCATGGTGGCTCACACCTTAACTGCAGCACTCTGGGGGGCTGAACCCAGGGGATCGCTTGAGCTCTGGAGTTTGAGATCAGCCTGGGAAACAAAGTGAGAGCCTGTCTCTACAAAAAAAACGGAACAAATCGGCGTGGTGTGGTGGCATGTGTCTGTGGTCCCAGCCGCAGGAGAGGCTGAAGCAAGAGGATTGCTTAGCCCAGGAGTTCAAGACCAGCGTGGTGAGCACAGTGAGAAGACAGGGAGGGAGGAAGGAATAAAGGCAGAAAGGGAAGAAAGAAAAGGAAGGGAGAAAGGGCGGGCAGGAAAGAAAGAGGAAGCAAGGAAGGGAAGGGAATGAAGGAAGGAAAACAGGCGTCCAGGGACCTGGAGGAGTCACGTGGCGGCAGACGCTCCAGCGTCCACGGGGACGCCTCGCAGCCAGCAGCCCTGGTCCCAGGCCCTCCCCTTGCTGCGCTGATGCTGGCCGGGAGCACACGGCTCCGCAGGGCAGTGCACATTCTTCTTGAAGCAAGTGCAGGGACAACACACCTCCGGGGCTGCCACAGGCTCCGGGGATTTACCCTCGGACGTAATCAAAGCATTCCTAAAAATCGAAACACTCGGTCCTGGTCTGTGCAGGCTGCCGTGATAAACTATCCCAGACCGCGGGGCTTAAGGCACAAGAATTCATTTTCTCCCGGTTCTGGAGGCCAGGGTCCTCGTAAGGTCTGCTTCCCGGCGGGCGCGTGGCCTCGTTCTGGCAGCGGCCTCTCGTGGTGCTCCCCCGGGTGTGAGGGGGCAGAGCGAGCTCTCTGGCGTCTCTTCTCACAGGGACACTAAAGCCATTGGTACAGGGCCCACCTTTATGACCTTCGGTAAACCCTGGTTACTCCCTAACCCACCTGCATCCAAACGCAGTCACGTAGAGGGCTAGAGTCTCGACTACACATCTTGAGGGAACATGGTCCCGTCCCTGACCCATGCACACACTGCACAGAGGGCCCATTAAGTCAATGATGGTGCACATACAGACCAATATACCATGTGGACGCTAAAAAATCAGATATTCTAATGCGATTTATTATCACAATAAATAATTCACTGCAAATGACTGCATGAAAAATGTGGGTTCCCGAGCACCATGTGGGAAATGATCCCATTTATGTAAAGCCGTGAGCACATACCCACGTGCTGACGGAGAGGCGCAGAGGCGCGTGTCGGGAGGGGGTCTGGAGTGACCCCCAAGTGGACGGGGTGGGGGAGGGCGTGCGGGGATCTCCCGCATTTTTTACCATAAGCATTTATGATTTTTACAAAATCACCAAAGCCATCACTTTTTCCATTTAGAAAACGCTAAATTATTTACTGTACATCCTTGGGCACACCTTGGTTTTCTCTTGGAGGGCACAGATGCCATCGCCCTGAGGAGCATGTGTGCCGTCCTGTCTGTCCTGCCTCCCAGACTCCTGCCTGCCCTGCCCCGACACCTCTCCCAGCCCAGGCCCGAAACCCCTGGCCCCCTGCTTCCTCACTCTGTCGGTCATTCTAGAAGACTCTCCAAACCACCCTTGCAAAGAAGGTCATGCCAGGGAACAGCGGCGAGGTCACTTTTCAGTCAACCCACGGGAAGCCGGTGAATCCCCCCATGGATCTCCAGGCCCGGCTTCCTTCTCCTCCCTGGGGTCACCTGCTCAGCGGTTTCTCAGCCAGGCCAGCATGTCTATCAGGTGGCATCCAGCATCCAATCACAGTGACGAGAACTTTCCAGAACATCTTGTAAACTGTGGAGGCCCACGGTGGCCCCACTAGGCCTGCAGCAGGGCGATCTTGTGTTCTGGGGCGGAGTCTTCTCTGGTGTTGTAGGGCTGGGTCTCCGGCTCCTGCCTCAGGTATTTCTCTGCAGAAAATATAAGACTTTTTTAAGCACTAAAAGCTCAGACTTGAGGATGGGTTAGTTCATGGAAGGGGTTTTCAGGATCCTGGAAGGTGCACAGGCGGGAGCTGTGTGCCACTCAGGCCAGCGTCGCTAACTCTGTGGGGGTCTCTCCTGAGTCTCTGTAAGCAGTATTTTCCAGGTGACTCACGGCCCTGCCTTACTGCTCAGGGTCCCCTCCCACCACACAGTCAGGCCACAGCTAGCTTCCCCATTCCCAGTGCACTGCATCTGAACTGCTTCTGCAACAACGTGGGTGAATCTCCCTGATGTCACATTGAGCCAAGGAAGCCACTACAACATCCACCACCTGTCACTCTCACGGAGCTGACCCTGCATCAGCGGTGACCTCATTGGAAGAGAAAGAGGCCCAGCCCTGGGGCCTGGGACCCCCTGCACCTTGCTGTGTGGCCCGGGGTGGGTGCTCTGCTTCTCTGCCCCATCCTCTCCTTGACTGACACCTGCTGCTCCGAACCCCCCCATCGCTCTCTCAGGGATCAGCGCCCACCCTGCTTCTGTCCCTCCTGGCCCTCCTCGCCCAGGGCTTCTGGATGTCCTGACCTGGCCCTGCTGTGCCCTGATCCCTTGGGCTGTGGACTCCCGGCTGGAAGCACGTGCTTCCAACCTTCTGCATGAAAATGTGCGTCGCAGAGCACCAGGTATAAAACGATCCCGCTTATGTAAAACTGCAAACATGTATCCTCATAGTGACAGACGGGTGCATGTGCGTGTTTAGGGCAGGAGTCTGCAGTGACCAAAAAGCAGACTGGCGTGGAGGTGGTTTTCTGTTTTTTCTGTTGTTGTTCTTTTTTTGAGACAGAGTCTCGCTCTCTGACCCAGGCTGGAGTGCAGTGGGTTAATCTCAGCTCACTGCGATCTCTGCCTCCTGGGTTCAAGCGATTCTCTTGCCTTGGCCTTCTGAATAGCTGGGATTACAGGCGCCCACCACCACGCCCAGCTAATTTTTGTATTTTTAGTAGAGACGAGGTTTCATCATGTTGGCCAGGCTGATCTCGAACTCTTGACCTCAGATGATCCACCCACCTTGGCCTCCCAAAGTGCTGGGATTACAGGCGTGAGCCACCACGCCCAGCCAGTTCCCCATATTTTTTTACAATAAGCATTTAGGATTTTGGCAAAATCACCAAAGCTGCAGGATGTCTGACTGCACCTACCTGCTTCTTCCAGGGTGGAGAAGTACTGGAACCCCTTCAGGTCAGCAGACAGCAGGACACGGAGAACAGGGACCTGAGAGACAGACGGACTTTGGCCAGGGCAGGGATGTTCCTCTGCAGCACACAGGTAGGCGGCCGGGTGGACACAAAATCTCAGAGCCTTCCAGGAAGGTACAGCTTCATCTCCACACGAGGGTGTAGACATGGGGTTTTACCACATTGGCCAGGCTGGTCTTGAACTCCTGACCTCAGGTGATCCACCTGCCTCAGCCTCCCAAAGTGCTGAGATTACAGGCGTGAGCCACCGCGCCCAGCCTTCCCTGTCTGTTTTTGTTTCCTGAAATATAATTCCCCTGAGAGCAGGGGCAAGGACTGATCCTCATTCACTTGTGTGTCCCCAGCATTGAGGACAGCGTGGCAGTGACCACCGGGGAAGTGAACTCATAATGTGACTCCTCAGAGGGCTGGGGCCACCGCTCCCCATTCCACAGGCAGGGATGAGGAAGGTCCGATGGGGACAGGAACCTTTAAATCAAGACACGGAGCCAGCGCCGGCTGAGGGGCCATCCAGCATCACCCCAAAGATGTCACATTCACCACAGGAGGGGGCAGAGAAATGACCCCAAGGCAGCCCATGGCACACCCACCTGCAGACCCACGAAGGCCAGGGTGACGCCCTGCTTGTGGAAGTCCTCGAGGAGCTCACCAAGCCCCAGCACCACGGTGTAGTCGATGCTGCAGACATGGGTGCACTCCAGGACCAGGCAGCGTGGCGGGGACACTGGGGAGACAGGCCCGAGTCGGGTCACGCCACACAGAGCAGCCCAAGGCCGCGGGGCAGAGACCAAAGGGGGCTCCGGCCAGGAGCAGAGGCCAGAGAGGCCAGAGTGCTCCGTCTCACGAGGGCCGAGTCACCCAGCTGGGGGATCCACACGGCAGGACCAGAGACACAACTGTTTGGTGACAGCAGCAGCTGTTTCCCTCCTGGGACAGACCCGACTCCCCTAAAAGCCCCCCAGAAACAGGAACGGGACTTTAGGGGCAGGGAAGGAGCGACACATGGGGAACCACCACCCTTGCTGCAGCGGTCACTGGCTGAGGGCCCACAGGGCGGAGTCCTGTCCACTCGGAGATGCCTGAATCCTTGTGGACTGGAGAGCGTTGGGGACAGGGCCCTGGAGTCCTGAACAGCTGGGAGTTGGGGGCAGAGAACAGGGGAGTGACAGGTGCCCTCGGGCACCTTGGCCCCTGCCCACGCACCTTCTAGGGCCCGGCTTAGGATCTCCTCCCGCAGAGCCTCCACCGCGGGGAAGTGCAGGCCACTGGCCGGCTGCAGAACCAGAACCGGCCCCTCCGACAGCTGTGGGAAGGAGTGAGGCCTGGAGGCAGGTCTGACCCGGTGGCCTCCACCAGGCTTGGCCTGTCCCATGTGGGAAGCCCCCCACCCAACCCAGCACACTGGAGGGGACCGGGAGTGGAGTGCTAAGGGTAGACCCCCACAGCCCCGTGCAGTAGAACGCCATGGTTTACAGCAAGGTGGCTGCCCGCCTGCCAGTGAGCGGTGCCCTTCAGCAGCACCCACGACCGCAACTACCCCGGACACTCAAAACATAAGACACACCCAGGAATCCTGCCCCCAGCATGCCCCCCAAGGCCACAGGCAGGTACCTTGGTCTCGGGTCTGGCTGCGGAGTGCAGGAGCATGAGCAGGGACACCAGGGCCCCGGCCAGAATGCCATACTGCACCTCCCAGCAGCTCAGCAGGAACGTCACACACAGGGGCAGCAGGTCCAGCCCTAAGAGAAGGGTACGGCTGAGGGGTGCCCAGCAACCACCCGACCCCCAACATGGCCCTGCTGACCAGTGGGACAGCTTTCTGCCGCCCCACAGGAGTAAAGGTCTTATGGACCCAGAGCAGCCCCCGAGGGGACTCCTGAGGACTTGGGGACAGCAGCTGCTGACCAGGCCCTGCTTCAAGTTGAAGGAAGAAACTGCCACCTCCCCATCTGAACTGAGCACAGGTGAGACATGCCCAGCTGGTCCCCAGTCTCCAACCTCGGGGAGGGCAGCAGCAGGGGCTTGTCAGGGTACAGAGCCAGCCTGAGGTGCCCTGGCGACACAGTGAGTGTACGGGCTCAGGGCTCAGGCCTGGGGGACTTCACCGCACGCATGAGTCAGGCCCATCCCACCCTGGCTGAACCTCGGTTTCCCTGGCATGCAATGGGCATGGGAGAAAACCACCCATCCTTTCACCTGTCAACTTGCTGGGGCTGCCCAGAAAATGCCAAATAAGCTATGTGAGCCCTTTTTCCATCCTCCTTCCACAAACAAAAGAAAACAAAACGTGTTTAAAGGAACCGCCACTCAGAGCCAGAGTGCAGGCTGTTCCGCTGCCCCTGCAGGTCAGCGGGGACATCTCCTGTCCCTCCCCTAGCTGGGCCCGGCAGAGCGGTGGCTAGAGGCGGGCAGCTGGGAGGGTAGGGACGGGAGCAGGGGGATCAGGAGGGGACCCTCCCCCGGGGCCAGTGCTCCCCTCAGGACCCCATTTGTCAGCTCCAGCTCTTCCTGCTGAGACTTGGGGCCATCTCTGGGGCCACCTTCTGGCCGTCCACTCCTCCGTTCCGGGACCAGCCTGACTTCCCAGCCCTAGCCCCGGAGCTGTGGCTGCAGGAAAATGGGGCAGCACCAATGACACCCTCCGTGTTCACAGACGCCACATCACAGCACTCTCCCCTGCAGGGACAAGGACATACTCTTAATGCGCCAGAGCGTCCCGAAGATCTTGGTGTCGAACAGCGGGGCCACGGCCATGATGATAACAGCGGCCAGGGCAGACTTGGGAATGTAGTAGAAGAGGGAGGTCAGGTAGTCCAGAGACAGCAGCACCAGCACCCCTGCGGGGCGTGGGGACACGGGTGACTCGGGCGCACGATCCCCCAGCACGCAGCACAGCAGCCTCCTGCTCAGAGGAGCCCCCCGGGGACAGGAGTGGGGACAGGGTGACGAGTGCCAAGGCCCCCAGCCCCTGCTCAGTCTCCTGTGGTCCCCCCACCCATGTGGCCCAGTCCCTGTGCAGTCCCAGGGCACACGGCCCGTAAGCCAAAGGGACATCTCTGCGGGCCCCCTCCTCCCTTTCTCCCACTCTCAGGGCTGAGGGCACAAGGGGAAGGCGGGGACCTCACCCGTCACCAGCCCCCCCGCTGGGGTGCACACCCCCGACTGAGCGTTCACAGCTGTCCTGGAAGGCAACACAGAGACTGTCAGTCACTAGGGGCCGGGATGGGGGAACCCTCAGTCCACACCCCTGTGGCTGACCTTCCGAGGGGACGTCAGCTCCAAGCACGGCTTAGGAAGTGGCGGGGTGGGGGGACTGCAAGGGGGCTGAGGCCAAGAGACTTAGGGTGCAGTCACAGACAGGCCACCTGACTACAGGAAGGCACAGGTCTCACATTCCTGAAGCACGTGTCCCTTCGGGGTCCTGCAGCCTTTGTCTCCTGCCCCCATCCAGGGGGGGGCCCCATATCCAGCAGGGTCAGGATCAGCAGCTGGGGGACCAACCGGGCACTGCCAGGCGATCCCTCCTTCCCTCCTTGAAGCCACAGGTCACCCCCATCCTGCTGTCCTGACTGAGGAAGGGCCCTGGGGCGTCTGGGATAAACCTCAGGCCTGCCCTCAGGGCAGAGCTAGCCCTTCCTGTCTGCACATCCTTTTAGAAATTGACTCTGGCACCGAGAGCTAGGAGGGTTCTGGCATGCCGGGAACTTTCCAGTATCTGTTTCAGAGACAGGGTCTCGCTCTGTCGCCCAGGCTGGAGTGCAGAGGCACAATCACAGCTCACTGCAGCCTCAGCCTGCTGGGCTCAGGTGATTCTCCCGCCTCTGCCTCCAGGGTAAACGGGATAGCAAGGGTGTACCGCCGCGCCCGGTGGACTTTCTAGTACGAAACTGCAGGACTGTCTATGAGCGTAAAGAAACAGAGGACACCCTGAGGGACAGCAGGGTGACGCCCAGCCCTTCCTCTCCACAGAGAGTTCACAGCTGACCGGGGTCAGGGCAGGCAGACTCGTCAGGATAACAACGTAAAGGCGTCCGACGTGGGCAAACGGAGGAGGACGGGTCACTCACCGTCCGAAGCTGCCTGTGACCGGGTAGGAGGAGACGAGGGAGCCCAGCACGTTGGTGAGGCCTGGGGAGGAAGCAAGACAGGCCGATCGGGAGGGAAGGCACACGGGATGGAGGGAAAGGAGATGGCGAGCGGGACAAAACCCAGAAGGGAGGCAGGAAGGCAGGGTCAGGAGACTCACCCTGGGGGCCTGAGCCTGCGCACTTTTTCAGGGAAAGAAGAAGACAGGCCACGCTCTTACAGACGCGCAGCCATTTTTGAGACAGTTTCACTCTTGTTGCCCAGGCTGGGGTGCAACGGCATGATCTCGGCTCACCACACCCTCCACTACCAGGATTCAAGCAATTCTCCTGCCGCAGCCTCCCAAGTAGCTGGGATTACAGGCATGAGCCACCACGCCCAGCTAATTGTGTATTTTAGTAGAGACAGGCTTTCTCCATGTTGGTCAGGCTGGTCTCGAACTCCCGACCTCAGGTGGTCCGCTCACCTTGGCCTCCCAAAGTGCTAGAATTATAGACATGAGCCACCACATCTGACCACTTTTTTTTTTTTTGGCAATACAGTCTGACTCTGTTGCCCAGGCTGGAGTACAGTGGCAGGATCTTGACTCACTGCAGCTTCCGCCTCCCAGTTCAAGTGATTCTCCTGCCTCAGCCTCCCAAGTAGCTGAGACTACAGGTGTGCAGCGCCATGCCTGGCTAATTTTTGTATTTTTAGTACAGATGGGGTTTCGCCATGTTGGCCAGGCTGGTCTCAAACTCCTGACCTCAGGTGATCCACCCACCTCGGCCTCCCAAAGTGCTGGGATTACAGGCGTGAGCCCCGCGCCCGGCCAGGTCCCAGCTTTCAAACACTTGTCACCCAGCCTCTCCTGTGTGACCAGGACACACCTTCCCCATGCAGAACAGAGGGGAGCATCTCACCACCCAGGAGGGCCTGACGGCTGAGAAGGAAGTGTCTGTAAGACAAACCCGACGTGCTCGGAAGGTCAGTGGCTGCCACGTTCTCCACCCAGCTCCCTTCAACCCCAGCACGCCTTCTCACGAGACAATAGCCACGGTGAGGCCAGAGGCTGTGGCTGGTACATGGTCTCCTCGGGTGATGCTGGCTGTCTACACCAGACAAAGCCTGAGCCACAGCATCACTGGGGCCCGGGAACGGGGATCACTGCTCAGCCGGACCCCACACTGCCACCAGCAGGTCTCACCTGGGATGCCACAAAGGCCAGAGTCCCTCCTGCTCTCTAAGACCCATGTGGAGTGTCAGGTCTCACAGGGGCGGGGCCTGCTCTCAAGACAGGGCCGAGTCAGCACCAGCCCGGGTCCCATGGCTCAGCTCACGCCCCGACAGACAGGGGCTAGGGCACGGAAATGCAGGGGGAGAGCTGGGCAAAGGCCTGTGGTGACTGCAGGCTGTACGGGGTCGCCCTCACCCTGCAACAGCTTGAGTTCGGGACCCGGCTCTGTGAGCTGATGCTGACGGGGCAAGCCCTCCCAGCTTGGCCTTTGTGGGTGCACATCAACCCACATCAGTCTGGCCTGCCTGAGATCAAGGAGTCCCATGGCTGCCATGGTAACCGTGACCTTCACTCTGTGTGGGTCGCATTCCTGGAACTCAGTGTGCCGTCAGAAAAGTTCTGTGGTATTTTTCAAGTAATGGGAATAGGGCCAGGGGCTGTGGCTCAGGCTTGTAATCCCAGCACTTTGGGAGGCCAAGGTGGGCAGATCACCAGGTATCAGGAGTTCGAGACCATCCTGGCTGACATGGTGAAACCCCGTCTCCACTAAAAATACAAAAAAGGCCAGGTGAGGTGGCTGACTCCTGTAATCCTAGGACTTTGGGAGACCTAGGCGGGCAGATCACAAGGTCAGAAGATGGAGACCACCCTGGCTAACACAGTGAAGCCCCATCTCTACTAAAAATACAACAAAAAATTAGCTGGGCATGGTGGCACTTGCCTGTAATCCCAGCTACTCGGGAGGCTGAGGCAGGAGAATCACTTGAACCTGAGAGGCAGAGGTTGCAGTGAGCCGAGATTGCACCACGGCACTCCAGCCTGGCAAGAGGGTAAGACTCCATCTCAAAAATAAATAAATTTAAAAAATACAAATACAAAAATTAGCTGGGCGAGGGGGCAGGTGCCTGTAATCCCAGCTACTCAGGAGGCTGAGGCAGGAGAATTACTTGAACCCAGGAGGCGGAGGTTGCAGTGAGCTGAGACCATGCCACTGCACTCCAGCCTGGGCAACAGAGTTTCACTCTCGGAGGAAAAAAATATATATATATATATATATATGAAAGTAATAGGAATGGGATGGTCTGGGAAATCACATTTGGAAGATTTACTGGGAGGGCTCGGGGGAGGCTGTGGATTTTCTTTTCTTTTTTTTTTTTAAAGATGGGGCTTCACCATGTTGGTCAGGCTGGTCTTGAACTCCTGACCTCAGGTGATCCGCCCGCCTTGGCCTCCAAAGTGCTTGGATTACAGGCATGAGCCACAATGCCTGGCTCCGAGGCTGTGGATTTTCTTGGCCTGCGAGTATGTTTCCTAGGAGGCCCATGCTCCACCACTCAGCTGGACAATGCCCCATTCTCCACAGCTCAGAGAGGAGCCTGGGCAATGTCCTTCTGTGACCCAACTTGGGTCACTCGTTTTGCTGTCAAGAAGCCACGTGGCTCTTGTGAAATTATCTGGGTGGACACCCCGTTTTCGAAGGAGCCCCCGGTGCTCCCTGGATTACCCTGCACGCCAGTCTCACGAGGGGCAAGAAGGCCTGGGACCCACGACTCAGTCATGATAACTGGATTGAAGATTCACACTGTGGTCTCAAAATATACCACTAAGAGGTCAGCTCACAGAGACATAGTGAGAGGAAACTAAACCATGAAAGCAGGCATGACCCCACCCACAGGCAGGCTACTCGGCCCCGAGTCCTCCCAAATCCACCTGCCCCTGCCTGGAGCAAGTTGCAGGGGAGGGTGCAGGTGCAACCTCAGAAGACTCCTCTGAGCTTCCTCCCTCCCTGAGGTGGGACGCTCCAGGTGTTCCTGGATGCAGACCTAGGTTACAGACGTCAGGGTCGAGTATGCAGCAGGAGCTTAGTAAGTGGTGGGACAGACAGCAGATGTCAGCTCTGTATTCTTAGGGATCCAGCTGAACAATGTGGCGCTCTGGGAACGAATCCTTATTACTATTCCGTAAGAGCCAGCACAGTGGCTCATTCCTGTAATCCCAGCACTTTGGGAGGCTGAGGTGGGTGGATCACTGGAAGTCAGGGGTTCGAGACCAGCCTGGCCAACATGGCGAAACCTGCCTCTACTAAAAATACAAAAATAAGCCGGGTGTGGTACAGGCACACCTGTAATCCCAGCTACTCAGGAGGCTGAGGTAGGAGAATTGCTTGAATGCAGGAGGTGGAGGTTGCAGTGAGCCAAGATCGTGCCACTGCACTCCAGCCTGGTGACAGAGCAAGACTGCATTTCAAAAAAAAAAAAAAAAAAAAATTCCAGAAGAGCTCATCTGGAGCCACCTCTGCGCTCCCAATTCAACACCAACATCGCAGTCCTCCTATGATACAGGAGACAGAGCGGTAGGCCCAGGGCCCTGGAGTCCCACAGCTGGGGTCTTCCCTGAGCCTGTGGTCTTCCCTGAGGCTGGTGTCATCCTATGACTGGGGTCTTCCCTGTGACTGGCATCTTCCCTGTGGCTGGGGTCTTTCCCGAGGCTGGGGTCTTCCCTGAGGCTGGGGTCTTCCCTGTGGCTAGGGTGTTCCCTGTGGCTGGGGTGTTCCCCGTGGCTGGGGTCTTCCCCAAGGCTGGGGTCTTCACGGAGGCTGGGGTGGTCCCTGTGACTGGGGTCTTACCGATGGCCAGCAGCTCCTGGTTGGCATCGATGCGGTAATTATTCTGAGACCCTACAGGGAAGGAACAGTGAAGACCGTCACTGATATTCAACATCGCCGGAAAACATTCACAAAACGTAAAACAGACCACGAACTTCTACACACGGCAATAAATTTTATAAATACAACTATGAATACACATCTAAAATAGTCACATGTAAACATGTGCTTGAGTGTATCAGACGGGGAATCGGTATAGTACCACATAAACAGGCTGGGCACGGTGACTCATAGCCGTAATCCCAGCACTTTGGGAGGCCAAGGCAGGAGGATTGCTTGAGTCCAGGAGTTCAAGATCAGCCTGGGCAACATGGCAAAACCCCATCTCTGCAAAAAATACAACAATTAGCCAGGCATGGTGTGTGCCTATAGTCCCAGATACTTGGGATGCTGAAGCAAGGGGATGGTTTGAGCCTGGGAGGTTGAGGCTGCAGTGAGCTGAGATCGTGCCACTGCACTCCAGTCCGGGCAACAGAGTGAGACCCTGTTTCAAACAATAACAATAACAAGAAAACATGTAAATGGCCAGGTGTGGTGGCTCACGCCTGCAATCCCAGCACTTTGGGAGGCCGAGGCGGGTGGATCACGAGGTCAGGAGTTTGAGACCAGCCTGGCCAACATGGTGAAACCCTGTCTCTACTAAAAATACAAAAAATTAGCTGGGCGTGGTGGCGCGTGCCTGTAATCCCAGCTACTCAGGAGGCTGAGGCAGGAGAATTGCCTGAACCCAGGAGGTGGAGGTTGCGGTGAGCCAAGATCGCGCCATTGCACTCCAGCCTGGGTAACAAGAGCAAAACTCCATCTCAAAAAAAAAAAAAAAAAAGAAACACAGTCATTATTATCAATTAAATTAAAACTTTTTTTTTTTTTTTTTTAAAGATAGGGTTTCACCATGATGGCCACGCTGGTCTTGAACCCCTGACCTCAGAGGGTGATCCACCCACCTCAGCCTCCCAAAGTGCTAGGATTACAGGCGTGAGCCACCGTGCCCGGCTAAATTAAAACTTGCAATTAAACAGATAATACGGGATCTTGCTCTGCCGCCCAGGCTGGAATGCAGAGACGCCGTCATAGCTCAATGCCACCTCGACCTGCTGGCTCAGCTGATCCTCCTGCCTCGGCCTCCCAAGCAGCTGGTACCGCAGGTGTGCTCCATGTCTGGCTACTTTTTATTTTTAATAAAAACGAGGTCTCATTATCTTGCCCAGGTGCGCTTCAAATTCCTGAGCTCAAGCGATCCTCCCACCTTGGTCTCCCAAAGTGCTGGGATTACAGGCCTGAGCCACCACGCCTGGCCCAAAGATAACACTTGAAACTCGCCACTTCTGAATTGATGTGGCATCTGTCGCTGATGAGGTTACTTGCACCCACGGTAGCAACATGGCGGAGGCACCACAGAATACGGGTGCTCGTGCACACCTCATCCAAGCTCCACGTGCAAACTCCCTGTTCAGTGATGTCCCCGTCACCTTAAACTCAGTCAGCAGCATTTACACCACAGACGTCCGAAAGGGCCACGAACCAAAACCTTTTATTTCCACAAAGAACGGGCTGTTAAAACACTCCCTGCACACCGTGGCGTGAGGGGCAGTGGCTCGTTATAGAGCCATTTTTATCATATATACATATTATGTCCATGTGTATCATGAGCACATATTACTTGGATATGAACTCAAGTTTCTAAAACTTAGAACAGACACAGGCGAGCTAGAGAGCAGGGAGGCCTAGCCCAGCCAGGCCTGGGGCATGGGTGACAGGCGTCTTACCGAAGGCTTTGGCCACTGCAATGCTTTCCAGGAGGCCCATCAGGGGCACCACAGCCAGCCCAGCCCCTATGTCCTGAGAGAGGAGAGAGGGATGGTGAGTGGCCTTCCTAAGGGGTGTGACCCATGAAGGCAGCGAGGGCCACCCTCCCCCACAGGAAACAGGAGCAAGTGCTTGTCAGCGGCTGGATGTCCCTCCTTGTCAGAAGAGGCACCAGAGTGTCTGAATGTGCTGGGAGGAACACAGCACATTCGTCCTCAGCTGGAGTCCACAATGGGAGAAGCACCCCTGCGCCCTGGGCAGGAACACAACGTGACATCCCTGAGCGCACTGAGCTTGCATCTGACCTGGGATTCACCCTCCCTGAGGGCTCGGTTGTCCTAACTGACCTCAGACCCCCCGGCACCCAGCAGACGCATCAGGGTAGGGGCCACGCCGGGGCCACTGCAGCCTTGGCCACGCCATCCTGGCTCCTGGCTCTGCCCACCTGCACCATCTCGGTGAAGGAGATCGTCCCGTTCGCTGTGGTCACTGAGAAGGGCGGGGCCCGGACTGGAGGGAGCCCCTCAGCTGTCTCCCCAGTGAGGATGAAAGGCTGGTATCCAGTCACCTCGAAGGAGTACGCAACCAGGGCTGCGAAGGAGACCACCAGGGCGTTGCGAGCTAGGAGAGAAGCAGAGAGGCATCCAGGACCCGAATTCTGGCGAGTGTGGGGTAGTGTGGCTGCCTCCAGGTGACTGCAGCAGATACCCCAGGGGCAGAAGATGCCCCCGCTGGGCCACAGTCCTCACTCTGCACTCTGGGAAATACGGCCCAGACACAAGTGCCACGTGGCAGCATGAGCACAGCAGGTGGTTCGGCAGAGCCGCAGGCCACGGACGGGCGCACGTGCCACCCACTGCCAAGCTCCAGGCCACCGCACATCGCACAATGTGGCAAAGACTGTCTGCAGCTTCTCTGATGGTCTCCCTGTGTGTGGAGGGGCCCCCTAGCAGAGCCCAGGAGTCTCCCTGAGCTCAGAGGCAATGCTGGAAGGGAGTCGGAGGAGGCCTGTGGCTGGAGCTGACAGCCAGGTCACAGGAACATACAGGGCAGCCGGGGACGGAGCTGCAGCCATCTGCAGAGGTGGCCTCGGTGTGCAGCAGAGAACGGGGTGAGGCAAAGCTGGAGGGAAATGACCCAAACCCACAGTGAGGAAGAGACACTAAGAGGGTTACGATCCCAGGACTCACACCAGAGTGAAAAACCCTCATCATTCATGGAGCACCAGGGGCTCCTGAGGGTTTTACCTCAGCAGCGGGGAAGATTAGCCCAAGGCCCGGGGTTGGCAAATTTTTTTCTGTAAAGGGCTAAATACTAAAACCTTTTTGCTTTGTGGGCCATAAAGTCACTGGTGCAACTGCTCAAGCCTATTATTGTATAAAGGCAGACACAGACAATGTAAATGAATGGGAATGGCTATTCCAATGAAACCTTATTTACAAAATCAACTGGTGGGCCACATTAGGTTCGCCCTAGAATGAACACTGCTCTGGTCCAGCTAACAAAGCTTAAAAGCAAGAGCCAGGTGGGGCACAGTGGTTCATGCCAGTAAATCTCAGCACTTTGGGAGGCCAAGGCAGGTGGCTCACAAGGTCAGGAGTTCAAGACTAGCCCAGCCAACATAGTGAAACCCTGTCTCTTACTAAAGAAAAAAATATAAAAATTAGCCGAGTGTGCTGGCACGCACCTGTAGTCCCAGCTACCCAGGAGGCTGAGGCAGGAGAATTGCTTGAACCCAGGAGGGAGGTGGAGGTTGCAGTGAACCAAGCCATTGTACTCCAGCCTGGGTGAGTGCTGAGACTCTGTCTCAAAAAAAAAAAAAAAAAAAAAAAAAAAAAAAAAAAAAAAAAGTAACTGTAACCAAATGCAATTTAATTAACAGGACATTAAAAGAATAACTGTAACCAAATTCGGCTTACTTAAAGAATTAGAGGAAACCGTTAAGACTGTTAAGTAACAACGTAAAAGATACATTTTAAAACATTCAAATTGAGGCTGAGAGGAGTAGCTATGCCTTTAATCCCAGCACTTTGGGAGGCTGCAGTGGGTGGATCACCTAAGGTCAGGAGTTAGAGATCATCTCGGCTAACATGGCAAAACCCCCATCTCTACTAAAAATACAAAAAATTAGCTGGGCGTGGTGGCAGGGGAATCGCTGGAACCCGGGAAGCCAGAGGTTACAGCGAGCCAAGATCATGCCTTGCACTCCAGCCTGAACGACAGAGAGAAACTGTGTCTTCAAAAAAAAAAAGGAAAAAAAGATTCAAACTGAATTCCTAGAAATGGAAACCACAGTGTCTGAAATGAAACAAGCACTTGATGCAATTAACAAGAGCTGAGGCATAGCAGAGAAACGATAAAATGGAGCACTAGAGACGATACAAAATGAGACAGCAAAGACAAGCCTGCAAATCCCAGAGAGCAGCAACAGTGCGCGGTGGGAACGGCTTCAGGGAGCCGTAAATACGGCTACGGGAGTCTGCAGAGAAAGTCTGCGGAATCTCACGAGGAGAGAGTATAAAAGAAGGGTTTCCACACTTGATGAGACTGCCTGTACCACCCTTCCCCTCCTTGCCTCTGTCATGAAAACCTCAATAAAGGCTGTGGCCTAAACCATCCTCTAGCTTTTGGCTTCTCCTCCTGGCCACCCTGGTGTCTTCTGACGTGGCCCTACGTGGTGCGCTGTGCCTCCTGTCGCCAGGACCTGTGAGTACAATAAACTCTCTTTTTTCCTGAGCCTTTTTCTGTCTCCCCTGTGGCCGCCCCTCACTGGTCATCGCATAAAGAAATACGAAAGTCTCTGAGAAACCTGGGGTGTCTGAGCATTTTGCACTTTGACTTTTTTCTTTTCTTTTCTTTTTTTTTTGAAATGGAGTCTCACTCTGTTGCCAGGCTGGAGTGCAGTGACGTGATCTCAGCTCATTGTAACTTATGCCTCCCGGGTTCAAGTGATTCTCCAGCTTCAGCCTCCCGAGTAGCTGGCATCACAGCCATGCGCCAGCACGCCCAGCTAATTTTTGTACTTTTAGTAGAGACGTGGTTTTGCCATGTTGGCCAGGCTGGTTTCAAACTCCTCACCTCAGGTGATCAGCCTGCCTTGGCCTCCCAAAGTGCTGGGATTACAGGTGTGAGCCACCATGCCTGGTCTCCAAACTTTGATTTCTAAGGTGATCCCATGAGTCCCCTGAACATCCCCCGAAGAATACAGATTCTGATTCAGATATCTGTGGGGGGGCCTGAGATGCTGCATTTCCAGTAAGCTCCCAGGGGATGCCCAGTGCCTAGGCTGCTGGTCCCAGGCTACACGCTGAGTCTCGAGGTTTAAGATAACAAGGCAAGGGCTGGGTGTGGTGGCTCATGACTGAAATCTCAGCACTTTGGGAGGCCGAGGAGGGTGGGATCACTTGAGGTCAAGAGTTCGAGACTAGCCTGGCCAACGTGGCGAAAACCTGTCTCTACTAAAAATACAAAAGTTAGCCAGGTGTGGCGGCGCACACCTATCATCTCAGCTATGCAGGATGCTGATGAGGTGGGATAATCACTTGAACCCAGGAGGCGAAGATGGAGGTTACAGTGAGCCGAGATTGCACCACTGCCCTCCAGGCTGGGTGACAGAGCGAGACTTCATCTCCTAAAAAAAGAAAAATAGATAACAAAGCATTTTCACTATTTCACGGACAACTGAACGAAAGCCAGGAACTTTGGCTAGCTCCTCTGCAAGTCTAAACACAGGCCAGGCTGGGACTGAAGCCAGGCATTTCCACTCTAAACCCAGGGCTCTCTCCACCCCACCAGGCTCAAGTCTACGGAACAGGATCCAGGGAGTGACCTGGGGAACAGACCAGCCAGGCAGCTGGAAGTGACTCAAGGGCTAAATCCAGCCACCATCTCGCTCCTCTAGCTGTTGGATTATGCAGCCCCCAAACAGCAGGGCCAAGCTCAGCCTGTTCTGCGCTTAATCCTTCCCCTCAGCTCTGAGAAGGCTCGGAGTCACCTACACTTCCTGACTTTCCTGGGTGTGCCTTCCTCTCTGGGGAGCCCTGCCCGGAGCTCAGCCAGGGGACCCGTGCCTATCTTGGATGCACCTCTCCAGGGTGCTCCTTCACCTGCTAATGGCCCTGCTGCTCCTCTCACTATGCAGTCCCCCACTCCCCGCTTCTCAAAGGACCCCTGGTTATCTGTGGCTCAGCCTGCAGCCTCCAGGCCTGAAGCCGAAGCTGTACCCCAGCAAGCTGCACGATTCAAACAGAGCCTGCTGGTCACAGTGGGATTTGTTTTCTCTCCCCAGGACCTGCCAGTAGACCTAGCTTCTCACCTCGGCACTGCTGACATTTTGGGCGGGTCACTGTCAGTGGTGGAAGCCGGCGCGCCATCAGGGGTCTGGCGGCATCCCTGACCTCTCCCCACTAGCTGCCAGCAACTGTCTCGCCCCGTGGTATCCACCAAAAATGTTTCCCGACGTTGCTAAATGTCACCAGGGGGCAAAACTGCTTCAGGTGAGGACTACTGCAACAGACCAGCTCTCAGCTCTGGCTCTGGATCAGAACCACACCGAGTTTGGTTTGCAGTTTTAAATGTCACAGTTTGGTGGCTCATGCCTGTAATCCCAGCACTTTGGGAGGCCGAGGTGAGCCACTTGAGGTCAGGAGTTTGAGACCAGCATGGTCAACACGGTGAAACCCTGCATCTACTAAAAATACAAAAAGCCGGGTGTGGTAGCACATGCCTGTAATCCCAGCTACTCAGGAGGCCGAGGCAGGAGAATCCCAGGAACCCGCGAGGCAGAGGTTGCACCGAGCTGAGATCACACCACTGCACTCTAGTAGCCTGGGCAACAGAGTGAGATTCCATCTCAAAAAAAAAAAAAAAAAAAAAAAAAAGCAAACATACCAAAAGATAAAAAATAAAAAAATTAATAAGTAAAAGCCCTAGAGTTTTGTGTGCAGGTTTAAATGTCCCAATGCCCAAGTTAAACCCAGACCAATGACATGAAATCTCTCAGGGTGGGACTCAGGACTCCCCAAGTGACCCCAACATGCAGCCGAGGTTACACACAATGTGAACTGAGGCCCCTCACCTGTTGTGGCAGCCCAGACCAACCCGCGGCTGAGCCGCACACCAGGGGGCATCTCAGGGTGGACGGGAGGCACGTGGTCCCGCATCAGCTTCAGCACCAGCAGCAGCACCATGCAGACCAGCCCCAGGACGGCGTCGCCCACCCTGCAGACAGGCAGAGGACTGGTCACGACCCAGCTCGGCCCAGGCCTTCTGCTGGGAGGTGCCAAGAAGCTCCCAGGCTGCCAGTCCCAGGCTATGCTGAGTATCAAGGTTTAAGGAAACAAAGCATTTTCAATATTCTCACTGTTTCACACACACTTAACTAAAGTTCAGGAACTCTAGCAAGCTGCTCTGCAAGACCAAACACAGGCTAGGCTGAGATGTTTTCTCCTAAGCGATGTGCATCCCTATTCTACTTCAAAACTCAATTTAAAATTCAGGGGCTGGGCGCAGTGGCTCACGCCTGTAATCCCAGCACTTTGGGAGGCCGAGGCGGGTGGATCACGAGGTCAAGAGATCGAGACCATCCTGGTCAACATGGTGAAACCCTGTCTCTACTAAAGATACAAAACATTAGCTGGGCATGGTGGCGCATGCCTGTAATCCCAGCTACTCAGGAGGCTGAGGCAGGAGAATTGCCTGAACCCAGGAGGCGGAGGTTGCGGTGAGCCGAGATCGCGCCATTGCACTCCAGCCTGGGTAACAAGAGCGAAACTCCGTCTCAAAAAAAAAAAAAAAAAAAAAAATTCAGTAAGCACATGAGCCTGTGCGGGTCATGACGGCGGCTTGGTGACCCGCTCCTACTTTCACTCCCATAACTTTTTGTGACTCAAGTATGTGCAAAGGATCTGGTGAGTGACCACGGGGAACGGGGGCCAGACTGAGCAGCCGGTGCTCTGCAGGTGGCTCTGGAACAAGTGTGGCAAATTTGAATGTGGCCCAACACAAATCTGTAAACTTTTTTTTTTTTTTTTTTGAGACGGAGTTTCGCTCTTGTTACCCAGGCTGGAGTGCAATGGCGCGATCTCGGCTCACCGCAACCTCCGCCTCATGGGTTCAGGCAATTCTCCTGCCTCAGCCTCCCGAGTAGCTGGGATTACAGGCATGTGCCACCACGCCCAGCTAATTTTTTGTATTTTTAGTAGAGACGGGGTTTCAGAATGTTGACCAGGATGGTCTCGATCTCTCGACCTTGTGATCCACCCGCCTCGGCCTCCCAAAGTGCTGGGATTACAGGTTTGAGCCACCGTGCCCGGCCAACAAATCTGTAAACTTTCTTAAAACATTAGAGGAGTTTTTAAAATGAATTTTTCCCAGTTCATCAGCTATCATTAGTGTTTTTTAAGAATAGCCCAAGACAATTCTTCCTTCTGTGTAGCCCAAGGAAGCCGAAAAATTGGACACCCTGTTGTAGACATTCTAGAAGGCTTTGGACTAAACAGTCAGTAAGGTCCCTTTTACCTCTCACAGTCCATGATGCTCTCGGACTGGTCAGGCTCCTCAATCACTGCTCCCCCATGCGGCTGACCCCTGCCCACTGGTGCCTCTGAAGGGCAAAGAACCCACTGGTTTCCAGCTGGAAGATGGTCCAGGATCCCAGCATCGCCCCCACTCCCTCCAGGCCACAGCACTGGGCAGCCATCTCTACAGCTCCCAGATCATTTCTTCCTCCAGCCCCTTCCAGCCAGAGAGACAGAGAGGTATGCCAGCTTCCTGCTGGATGGTCTGGCAGGGAGGGACCCCTCATTAGAGGCTTTTATTTTTTTTTTTTTTGAGAGTCTCGCTCTAACCCAGGCTGGAGTGCAGTAATGTGATCTTGGCTCACTGCAACCTCCACCTCCCGGGTTGAAGAGTCTCCTGCCTCAGCCTCCTGAGTAGCTGAGACAACAGGCACACACCACTATACCCAGCTAATTTTTGTATTTAAGAGACAGGGTTTCACCATGTTGACCAGGCTGGTCTCGAACTCCTGACCTAAGGTGATCCACCTGCCTCGGCTTCCCAAACTGCTGGGATTACAGGCATGAGCCAACGTGCCTGGCTATCAGAGGCTCTTTAAACCACCTGTGGGAAGTGCTCGGGTCTCCTCATCTCTCATCATGGCTCCACCTGCTATCCCCATGGCACCCCCGTTCTGTCTGTGTTAGCTTCCCCAAGCCCTGTCTTCTCTTCCTTAACAAATCACAACCCGGGGGGAGACACACTGCCTTCTTTTTCTTTACAGTCTCTTCCCATTCCTGCCCGAGAAAGCTTTGTGGAGAGGAACAGCACCCTCTTTGGCTCCCCAGAGCTGAGCTTCTCAAACTCTCCCCTGCACGCAGACCACAGGCCCCCCGTTAGAACGCTCTGACAGGGCAGGTCTGGAAAGGGCTGACAATCTCATTTCTGCCAGCTCGCAGGTGCTGCTGATGGGGCTGCTCTGGGGACCCCTGTTTGAGCAGCCACAGGCAGTGAAAGTTGAGGTGGGGGCCAGGAAAGCAGGTGTGGAAGGGGGAGCTTCCTTACAGGAGGGAGGAACGAAGCCCAGGGTACCTGGTCTCCCCGATCCTCAGGAAGGTGTGGTACACTTGCAGGACGAACTGCCTGGGAATGTTCTGCAGTCCCAGCAGGTTCTGTTCAAACACAGAGACGCTCATCAGAGGCCCTGTCCCCAGCTCCCGGCCTGCCGTCCCGACCCCATCTCAGACCCTCATTCTCAGGGCCCATCTCAAAAGCTCAGGGGCCATCTGCCCACTTCCAGTGCCCCTAAGCCAGGAAGTCAAAGTTACCCTTGGGGAAAACGGCACTTCCCAATTTCTGGGTCAGTGATGTGTTTCTCTAAATTACTTTTGTTTTTCATAAAAAACAGTGTAGGTAATCCCACAGCAGGGAGACCAGTTCTACAGCTCTAAGGCCAGGAGCCCTGGGCCGCCTGACCCTGCCCTCATTGGCTCGAGGCCACGCCTGCCACTTGGTGGCCAGGCGCCCTGCAATGTGGACCCTTGCTGCCATTGGCTTGAGGCCACATCTCTCACTAGATGCCCCCCAACCTCCAGCCCCACTACTGCCAGAAGGAAAAAGCACTTCACAGTGTGCACAGATCCAGAGGGGTCTGAGGGGCTGCGAGACTGGGCTGGGTAATATCTGGCCAAGTGGGAGCCTCCCACAGCGATGCCAGCTCTCAGAGCTCCTGGGCAGAAGAAGGAGTGCTATCCTGTGCTTTAGGGGTTTTTTGTTTTTTTCTTTTCTTTAGAGAGGGATTTGGCTTGCTCTGTGGCCCAGGCTGGATTCGAACTCCTGGGCTCCAGTGATCCTCCCACCTCAGCCTCCCATGTAGCTGGGATCCATGGTGCCGCCACAGCTGGGCTTTAGTTCTCTAAGTTGCCTGAGACTCAGCAGGAGTCAGAGGGGGAAGTTGAGGCCCAGGCTCCCAGGGTGACAGACTCAAGGACCCTGCCCCAAAACTTCGGTCACGGGGTGGGTGGGGTTAGGACATCCGGGTAGGTGGACTCTGGGACTGCTGGGGCAGGGGCTTCTGTCTTGGAAGAGTCAGAAAGATGCCCCCCCCCACCCCCAGATGGCTGCAGAGTCCCTGAGTGGGGCTAGGGCTGACAAGCATGAAGGCATAAAGAAGGCACTCTCGGCTGGGTGGGGTGACTCATGCCTGTCATTCCAGCACTTTGAGAGGCTGATGGGGGTATATCATCCGAAGTCAAAGGTTCAATACCAGCTTGGCCAATATGGTGAAATCCCATCTCTACTAAGAATACAAAAAATTAGCTGGGTGTGGTGGCACATGCCTGTAATCCCAGCTACTACGGAGGCTGAGGCAAGAGAATTGCTTGAACCTGGGAGGCAGAGGTTGCAGTGGATGGCACCATTGTACTCCAGCCTGGCAACAAGAGGGAAAGTCCGTCTAAAAGAAAAAAAAAAAAAAAAGACGGCACTCTACTTTCACTGTGATCATATAAAAGAACATCATAAGGCCGGGCGCGGTGGCTCAAGCTTGTAATCCCAGCACTTTGGGAGGCCGAGGCGGGTGGATCACGAGGTCGAGAGATCGAGACCATCCTGGTCAACATGGTGAAACCCCGTCTCTACTAAAAATACAAAAAATTAGCTGGGCATGGTGGCACGTGCCTGTAATCCCAGCTACTCAGGAGGCTGAGGCAGGAGAATTGCCTGAACCCATGAGGCGGAGGTTGCGGTGAGCCGAGATCGCGCCATTGCACTCCAGCCTGGGTAACAAGAGCGAAACTCCGTCTCAAAAAAAAAAAAAAAAAAAAAAAAAAAAAAGAACATCATAAAAGACTAGGAGGCCGAGGTGGGTGGATCAAGAGGTTGGGAGTTCGAGACCAGCCTGACCAACATGGTGAAATCCCATTTCTACTAAAAATGCAAAAAAAAAAAAATTTAGCTGGGCATGGTGGTGGGCACCTGTAATCCCAGCTACTCGGGAGGATGAGGCAGGGGAATTGCTTGAACCGGGGGGGGTGGAGGATGCAATGAGCCAAGATCATGCCACCGCACTCCAGCCGGGGTGATAGAGCAAGACTGTCTCAAAAAAGAAAAAAAAAGAATATTCTTAATACCAAAGATGAGGAACATTTCCAGAATAAAGAAGTAACCATGCCCTGAAACAGCATTTGCCAGGCTTCCCCTGGGAGATGTGTGCAGATAACTTACAAATCGCACGCATCCACACCTGTTGCTCCCTCCTCTCTAAAATGGAAATAATGATAAACCTACCTACCAGGGTGTGCTGAGAATTACACATGGAGTGTCTTGCCCAGTGCCTAGCACGTAGCAAGAGTGCAAAGAGTGTCTGCTACTTTATTCTCACACACACACACACACACACACACACCCTCTCACACACACACTCATGCTCTCCTGTCCTTGGTCTTCTCATGGTTCCTCCATCAGGACAGACTGTCTCAGGCTGGCCTGGAGTAGCTCCTGGCTTTGGGAAGATCATCTGCAGTGACACAGGGTGAGGAGGCAGGGTGTGCTCCTAGTCGGCCTTGACAGCCGCATGGCCCCATCAGCGGAACTGGGCTCACCTCACTCCACACACCCTCAACTGAGCACCCCCTACTGCACCTGCCCAGTGCTCGGTGGCCATGGCTGGGAGCAGAATAGTTCCTGTCCTTGAGGAACTTACAACCCAGCAAAAAATAGAATAAATTACATCCTCAGCTGATGACTGATCTTACTACATCTTATAGATGTTTTAAAAGTAAATATAAAAAGCATGGCATTTAAAAAATTAACGAAACCAGGAAAAAAAAAAACCACACACACACACACAACAAAACCACCTAGCTAAATTAGCATGAGGAAATCATTTGCTTGTAGAAATTGTAGCAGCATGCTTGTGACCGCTGGGGCCCACTGGGTGTGCCCAGTGCAGGGAGAACGGAGCCACGTCAAGCACACCACACAGAAACTCGGGCAGGAGCGGGGGGCAGGGGGATGGAATTACTGGTGCCCCAGTTACCCGCTGTAAAATCCAGCCATCATGAGACAGCCCTTCCAGGAAGGTCATTTTATTAAGAGGGGACCCATAAGAGCACTGTGTACTTCTTTGATCCACAGAAGACAATCTGAAACAGCAAGACGTCCATTGACCACAGGGATCAGGCTGGGCCTTGGTCCCGCTCCCAGCTATCCCTGTGCCAGCAAGCAGTGGCCAAAGAGCAGTGCCCTGGGTGGGCGCTGGGCCTACCTTGATCTGTCCAAAGCCGATGGTGACGGTGGCAGCAGAGGTGAAGCCTTTAATGACGGGGCAGGAAATGAAGTCCAGCAGGAACCCTGGCCAGCCAAGAGGGGACACCGAGCTGGTCCCAGCTCCGCCCAGTCCCAGAGGATGAGGGTATGTGTGAGCTGGGAGGGGTGGGAAGGGTGCAACTGGGAGCAGATGCTGCAGCTAAGAACGGGTGGGTGACACACCCTGCGTCTTTGGAGAGCAGAAAAGGGAGACGAGGGTCTGAGGCCACAGCTCCTCTCCAAGTGCCCTGGCCTCTCAGCAGAAAAGAGTAGACTAAGGGGCCAGGCCCCCACCCCCTCCACCCAGCCACCCACCTATACATGAACACACCTACTCACACCCGATCCCAACACACATGGGGATATACCTTGAAATGCAAACAAGAAAATGCTGAGTTCAAGGGCATCCCCTTGGCAAGCAGGTCGAGACTCACCCAAATGTAGGACCCCCATAACCAGCTGGATGCAGCCGGACAGGAAAGCCAGCAGCACAGCATAGGCGGGCTCGTGGAAGGTGTAGAAGGAGACCAGGAGGGACATGATGGCCGTGGGGCCCAGAGTCACGTCCCGGGAGGTGCCCAGGAGGAAATACACGAAGCAGCCCATGAAGGCAGAATAGAGGCCATACTGTGGAGAGAGACAGCGGTGAGCACGCAGGAGGCCGATGTCAGTCCACCGTGTCCCCAGTGTGCGTGTGCATGCACGGGAAGCGTGGGTGTCAGCTGTGTCCTGGACACACGAGCATGCACAGGCGAGACGTGCACCACCCCACGCTGCAGGGCGGCCTGCGGTGATCAGGAGGCCGCTCTTTTAGCAGCACCCAACCAGGGCCTCAGGGTGCAGACAGCCAGCCAGAGGGGTTGGTGCGGGCCGTATGCTGTGCCCAAGTCTAAGAATGCGTTGTTGTTGTTTTTTTTTTTTTAAGGCAGAGTTTCACGTTTGTTGTCTAGGCTAGAGTCTAATGGTGTGATGCTGGCTCACCGCCACCTCCAGGGTTCAAGTGATTCTCCTGCCTTAGCCTCCCGAGTAGCTGGGATTACAGGCACCCACCACCGTGCCCGGCTAATTTTTTGAATTTTTAGTGGAGAGCGGCTTTGACCATATCGGCCAGGCTGGTCTTGAACTCCTGACCTCAGGTGATCCACCCGCCTCGGCCTCCCAAAGTGCCGAGATTACAGGTGTGAGCCACCGCGCCCGGCCCGAGGAAGCATTCTTAAGGCCTCCTCCGTGAGTCACCTCGGTGGTCCCTCCACAAGCAGCTCAGTGTCTGTGTGTGTAAAACAGGCACAGGAGCCTGGGTCAGCCCAGAGACAGTCATGCGTTATACACTGTAAACAAAAGGTGCCTTGGGGCCCAGGGGTGGAAACCTGGGATGGCTGATGGTGTCTAGGACTGATCCTGTGAATCTCCACACTGCTCCTGAGATGGGGCTGGCAGAAGGGCCAGACACCTCACCTGGGGCGGGAGTCCAGCCACTTCAGCATAGGCCAGTGCCTGGGGAACGAGAGTGAGGCCCACAGAGAGTCCAGCGATGAAATCCATCTTCAGCCACTGCAGGGAGTAGCTGGGCAGCCATGCCAAGATGGGCAGCCTCCTCTGCATGGCCGCGGGGGAGCAGCAGCAGGTGTCCGGGGCCACCCCAGGGCTGGAGAACCTGGCCTGACCCAGCACCGAAGAGGGCATCTTCTTCAGTGGGGCTAGGGATGCAGGTGACATAGATCAGCAGTCAGAGCGTGGCCTTCGAAGAACCCAGTCACACTGGTCAGAGTCGGCGGGGACCAGGAGGGGTCACTAGGGTCTCCCCTCCCCAGGGGCGCTGAGCCAGACAGGTCTGAGAGGAAGCCCACAACGTGTGTAAGAGCGGAACTGGGCCAAGACTGGGGGTGGGGGGCATCCCCTCATCACCCACTCTTGCTGAATCCCCCTGTGCAAATCCTGGGTGCCTTCTGTCCCTCCATTCTCAGTTCTCCCAGATGAGAAACTGCTCAGCGATTTCTTACTGAGAAGCCTGAAGACTAATTAGGCTCAACACTTCTCGCTCCTGAGGAACTGGCTTCCTTTTCCTTTCACCCCTCTCACCCCGGGGAATTTAACGGGGAGTAGCGCGCAGAGAAGCAGGGCCCGCGGGGGCACACTAGGCTGGCGGGGGGTGCCGGCGGCGGCCGGGAGGGGATCCCAGGTTTTCCAACTGCGCACCAATGCGGGCTCCACCCACTACGGTGGACTGCGGCGCTGGTGGGGGGTGTCCTCCCTCCTGACACCACGCCTCGCTCAGCCCCACCTGTGGCATTCACGCCCTAGAGTTCTAGTTGCTTCTGGGAGGACGTCAGAGGCGCCCAGTTAATTCAGGTGCGCAGCATCCTCCAGGGCCGCGCGCAGAGCCGCCCCCCGAGGCCCCGGCCGCCCCGCTCCGGCCAAAATCCACTCCCCGGCCCCCGGCCCCGCCCACGAGGCCGCTGGCTCCGGATCCTGGGGCCTCCGGCGGGGACCCCGCGCCACCGGACGGTCCGCGGTCCCTCGGCCCCGAGCAAAGCCGAGGGCCGCGGGGACCCGGGTGAGGACGCGGCAGGGGGGTGGTCCCCGCGGGAGGCGCCGGCACTTTTGGGCTCCGCGCTGCCCCAGCGTCGGCTGCCCCCGGCGACCCCGGCCACTGTCCGCACCCCCGCCCCTGGTTCCCGCTCGCGGGCCACGGACTCACCCACCCCGCACCGCAGCTCGGGGTCTCCTGGCGTCGCTGCAGCCGGGTCCGCAGGAATCACCCGGGACGGGACGGGCGGGGTCTGGGGCGCACGTGACCGGGGGCGGGGCCGGGGCGGGGCCGGGGCGGGGCCGAGCCGGAGACCGGAGCCCGCGCCGAAGCCGGAGCCGCAGCCGCCATGCGCCGCCCCGGGCCCGCCTGCTGCGCGCTGCTGCTGGTCCTGGGGCTCTGCCGGGCGCGCCCCCGGAACGCACTGCTGCTCCTTGGTGAGTGCCGGCGCCGCCCTCCCACGCCCACCTGCCGTGGCCCGCGGAAGTGGCCTGGCCTCCTCCCTAAGCGTGGCCAGTGCTGACCCTGCTGTGCCCTGCCCTTGTATCCCTCTGCCATTCCCTCTCGCCCACCCCTCTGTGCTGCCCTCAGACTCTAAATGGGTGTCTCCCCAGAGAGGGCAGCGAGGGGTGGAGGGGTGAGCCCCAGCATCCATCCCGCTACCTTGCCTCCTGCCGCCTGTCCCCACCCGCCTCTGACCCTGCCCAGCCAGGGCCCAGGGGTCCACGGATCCCAGATCCCTCTTGGGAGGGGATGCCGGAGGAGGAGCTGGTGCTCAAGTCCCCAGAGACTGCAGACAGGATGCCCTCCTGGCTCTCATTTCCTCCCCAATGTAATCTTTTCCGACCCCGGAGGCTGTGGTTCAGCTGCCTTTTCCCTTGTCCCAGGGCATAGCCCTCCACCACCCCCCACCACCGTCTCCCCCAATCCCAGTCCCTCTCAGAAACCCCAAGTTCCTCCCGGGCAAGCACTGTGCTGCTCACGAGACTTCCGGTTTGGGTAATCAAGCCCTGGCCCATGACAAGTGACAAGGCCAAACCCAGGCCTGTGATTCTTTCCCCTTCTGAGGTCTGGCACGCTGCCAGGTGCCCTCTTTCTGATTAACTTTGTGGTCTCTGGGCGGGGATTCGGCTCACTGTAACATAAACAGCTCTCCTGCCGACACCTCACCTCCCAGAAACAGCGGAGAATCTGCCTGGACCCTCATCTTCGGATGGGATTCCCACTGGAGGCTCCCAGAGCCCCAGCCATGCAGCCCCTGCACTAGGGCCGGTCTTAGCACGGACTGCCATCGGTTGGCTTAAACAACAGAAATGTATTTCTCACAATTCTGCAGGCTGAGAATCCAAGGTCAGGGGCCAGCTTGGCTGGGTTCCACTGAGGGTCCACTTTTGGCTTGCAGGTGATCACCCTTTCACTGTTTCCTCACATGACGAGCGGGAGGGGGTCTCACTTCCTTTTCATTTCTCTTTCTTTTCTCTCTCTTCCTCTTTTCTTTTTCTCTTTCTTTCCACTTTCTTTTCTTTTCTTTTCCTTTCTTTTCTTTTTGTGAGAGTCTCACTGACACCCAGGCTGGAGTGCAGCAGCATAATCTTGGCTCACTGCAGCCTCAACCTCCCAGGCTCAAGTGATCTTCCTGCCTCAGCCTCCCAAGTAGCTGGGACCACAGGTGCACACCCAGGTGCATGCCCAGTTACTTTTCGTATTTTTTGTAGAGACAAAGTCTCACCGTGTTGCCCAGGCTGGTCTCGAACTCCTGGGCTGAAGCGATCTTCCTGCCTCAGCCTCCCAGGTGCTGGGATTACAGGCATGAAACATGGCACCCAACAGTCCTGTCAGATCGGAGTCCCATCCTTATGACCTCATGTAACCTTAATTAAGGACCCTGTCTTCAGATAGAATCATGTTGGTGTTAGGGCTTCAGCGTATGAATTCTGGGAGGACACAGTACAGTCCACAGCAGGCCCACAGCCAAGTGCCGAGACACTCTGGGTTTGGAGAAGGGCAGCTTTCCTTCTGGGCTGCAGGTAGGGAGCACAGCAGCCTGCTCTCGCTCCGGGCTTACCTGGCTGCCATGCGCTCACACCCTGTGGGTGCTGCGGGGTGGAGGATGGGAGCTCAGGTGGAGGATTCGAGCCCAGCTTGAAGCTGTGCAGCCTCCTCTGCCATGGACCGCATTGCCTCTGAGGGAGCTGGGGGAAGGCGTTCGTCCTGGGGGTCTCCACCAGCCCCCAGAGTCGTCTACCCCAGAGCAGGGGAAGAAGCGTGGTGTGGTTGTAGAAGCTCAGAGCCCTGTACCTGACCTTCCTGGGCCTCAGCTGTTTTGTGTAGAGGGAAAGGGTTGAACTATACAATCTGAAGGTTACTTGGCCTTCGAGATGGCATCAGTGAGCAGCAGTGGTGGGGCCCACACACAGATCCTTAGACATGTGCTGGGCGAGGCTCTTCTGCCCTGTGCCCCAGGCAGTGTCTGCAGAGCCCAGAATTGCCCAGCAGTTTGCTATGGCCATGCATTCAGCCGCCGTCTGCCTAAATGCCTAGCCGGGTAACATGCCCACCCAGGTAGCATGCCTGCTGGGCTATCATCAAGCCTCTTGGAGTATCATGCCTGCATGAATATCCTGACCACTTGGGTACCATGCCTGACTGCTCTCATACCTGCCCAGGTGCCAGGCCTGCTGGGTACCAGCCCACCTGCTAACATACCCACTGGGTATCAGGCATGCTTGGGGCATCATCAAGCTTGTTGGGGCATGATGCCTGCTTATCATGCCCACTTAGCTACCATTTCTGCCTGCTAACATACCCACCGGGTATCAGGCCTGCCTGGGTACCATGTTTACCTGCTATACCTACCATCTATCAGTCCAGCCTACATACCCTGCTCACCTGCTAACAACCCACCACGTATCATGCCTACTGGGTACCATGCCTGCTTGCTAATATGCCCACTGGGTATTGTGCCCACTAAGTACTGTGCCTGCTTGCTAATATACCCAGTAGGTAGGGGGCCTTCCTATACATGCCTGCCTGCTAACATGCCCACTGGTATCAGACCTGCTATCATGCCCTCTGGTATCATGCTTGCCTGCTGCACCCCCTCAGGTGTCATGCCTCCTAGGTAATGAAGTGGTCTGTCACGATAGCGTTTGTGCTGAGTCAGTACCATGCCCACCTGGGTAACTTGCCTCCTGGCATCACAGCCCCGGCCTCCTTCCCTCCCGGCGCTGTTTCTTGTGACCCCAGCCCACCACGTGCTCTCTGCCTCCCACCTTACACAGCGGATGATGGTGGCTTTGAGAGTGGCGCGTATAACAACAGTGCTATTGCCACCCCGCACCTGGACGCCTTGGCCCGCCGGAGCCTCCTCTTCCGCAACGCCTTCACCTCCGTCAGCAGCTGCTCTCCGAGCCGTGCCAGCCTCCTCACTGGCCTGCCCCAGGTGAGGTGCAAGAGGCAGGAGGAGGGGGTGGTCCGGGAGTAGACAGGCTGCGTCTGGAGCCCAGGCCTATGCCGCGTCTCCCATCCCTGGGTTCCCTGAGGGGGCATTGCCCACTTCCCTCCCCGCTCCAGAGGGAGGCACAGCTGCTGGCCGTGAGTGCAGACTGGAGCTCCGACTCCCACTGCCAGCCCTGTCTTCACGGCTCTGTTTGGCCTCAAGCAAGTGACCGACCTCCTGTGCCTCAGTTTCCTCATCTGTAAGATGGGGGATATAATGGGGACTGGCAGGGCTGATGCTTCGTATGTAAGCACTTAGCATGAGGCCTGGTGTGCTTACTCAGCGTGAACTGCCATTGCGACAGTGTCCCAGGAGCGCTATGTGCAGGGACCTGCTGCCATTAAGCACGCACGCTCCTGATTCATGGTGGTAAAATGCACACACATCAGCGTTCCCAGCTTAGCCGTTTTCCAGTACATGTTCCGTGGCAGTAAGCACACTGGCAGTGCTGCGCAGCCATCAGCCCATCCATCCATCTCCAGAAGTTTCCCATCTTCCCAAATACAAGCTCTGTCCCCACGAAACACCAGCTCCACATTCTCCCTCCCCGTCGCCTGCCGACCAACATTCTCCGTCTGTCTTTATGAATCTGACTGTTTCAGGGGCACATAGGAGTGGAATCACACAGGACTAGTCCTCTTATGTCATGTTTTTTTGAGTCTCACTCTTGTCACCAGGCTGGTGTGCAGTGGCGTGATCTTAGGTCACTGCAGCCTCCGCCTCCTGGGTTCCAGCAATTCTCCTGCCTCAGCCTCCTGAGTAGCTGAGATTAAAGGCACGCACCACCATGCCCTGCTAATTTTTGTATTTTTAGTAGAGACAGGGTTTCTCCATGTTGGCCAGGATGGTCTCAAACTCCTGACCTCAACTGATCAGCCCTCCTCAGCCTCCCAAAGTGCCGAGATTACAGGCGTGAGCCACGGCACTTACTTTTGGTATCTTACCTTGTGATCTTAGCTTATTGTAAGCGAAGTGCTGTCTCCATCTGAGGCTGAGGCTGAGTGGAAGGCCGGGGTGGGGAGATCACATGCATGGGCACAGAGGCTTCCTGAGAGGCTCATCCGGACACAGGCGTGCCCACTTCTGGCAGTGGGCCACGGGACTAGGAGGGACTCCTCCTTCTTACCTGATACCTCCCTAGGCAGTCTGAGTTTTTTAAATATACAGTTTGTTTTACAGTATAAAATAACTAGGTAATAAACAAGGCCTGGCCCTGTCTTTTTCACTCCGTGATGTGTCGTAACAGAAGAGCTGAGAAGTGCAGATGTGTAAAAAGAACATCCAGGCCACCTCACGTTGCTGCACGCCCTCCAGGACCCCTTCTTCCTTGCAAAGTCCCCTTTCATGGGAAGGACCCATGGGCCTCTCAGGCAGGGAGTGGGAGGTGGAGCCAGGCTCTCTGGGTTCTGGTCACTTGAAGTCTAAATCGGGGGTCCTGAGAAGGCCCTGGTGATGGGAGGGCCGTGTGAGGACAGGTGCGGCTGGTGGGGCCCTGGCCCTCACGCGTCTTTCCGGCAGCATCAGAATGGGATGTACGGGCTGCACCAGGACGTGCACCACTTCAACTCCTTCGACAGGGTGCGGAGCCTGCCGCTGCTGCTCAAGCAGGCCGGCGTGCGCACAGGTGAGGACGCTGCGCTGAGAGTGGGGCGCAGGGTGGGCACAGATGCCCGGCCGGAGCCCAGGAGGTTCAGTGCCCTGTCCCAAGTCACCCTCAGCGCCTGTGGCCTGCCCTTGGCTCTTGTCCCAAAGGATCTGGGTCTGGTTGTGAGTCCTGGCTGGGCTGTGATTGGGTGAGAACCCACAGTGCGCTTAGGTCTGAGGGGGCAAGGACGGGAGCAGGGGGGTTGGAAGGCTGAAGGGCCTCTGGACGGGCCTCTCTTCCCACCCAGGCATCATCGGGAAGAAGCACGTGGGGCCGGAGACCGTGTACCCGTTCGACTTTGCTTACACCGAGGAGAACAGCTCCGTCCTGCAGGTGGGGCGGAACATCACGAGGATTAAGCTGCTTGTCCGGAAATTCCTGCAGACTCAGGACGACCGGTACGAGGCGGGGCCCCTGCCCTTCCCCCGGCGGCTGGACCCGGAGCACAGCCGAGTCTTCAGGAGGGATGCATGGGTCCCCATGTGGCTGGAGTTGGGGCAGGGGAGAAGGTTCTGGGTACTCAAGTTAGTCTGGTCAGGAGGAGAAGGGACGTGGGGAAACTGAGGCAGCGAGGGTCATAGGTTGATGTCCAGATAGAGAGGAGGAGGCAGAGCCGAGGGGCTTCCTGTGCCAGGCAGCACTGGCCCTGCAGCCTTGGCAGTGAGTCTTCTCCCGTGCAGGCCTTTCTTCCTCTACGTCGCCTTCCATGACCCCCACCGCTGTGGGCACTCCCAGCCCCAGTACGGAACCTTCTGTGAGAAGTTTGGCAATGGAGAGAGCGGCATGGGTCGCATCCCAGACTGGACCCCGCAGGCCTATGACCCACAGGACGTGCTGGTAGGAAGAACGCCCCTCAGCCCTGGGTCAGGGACGCGGCCCTCCCGTGAGCTTGCAGCTCTGGCCCTAGGTGAGGAAGAAAGATGCTCTAATCAAATTGGATTCAGGTTCCTATCCTCGGGGCCACAGAGAGAACCACAGAGAGACGGGGTGGTCCAGAGTGAGGCCCTTCTGGGCTAATGCATTCACAGGAGGCCTGGGGAGAAGGCTGGGTGCCGCTCCCCCTGTCAGTCTCTTCTAAGCCTGGCTCCCCTCCACCTGCCCCAGGTGCCTTACTTCGTCCCCGACACCCCGGCAGCCCGAGCCGACCTGGCTGCTCAGTACACCACCATCGGCCGCATGGACAAAGGTGGGCTTGCGGAACCGGGCACTCGGGGGGGCCACAGCCTGGGTCCCCCATCCCGGGCCAGCACCCTCTCAGGTCACAGCAGAGTGTGGGTGAGGGTCTCAGGGTGGCAGGCCCTGTGCAGCGGCAGGTGGAGCCCACATTGAGAGGAGGGGTCTGCAGGTGGCATGGGGACCCACCCCGGGGCTGCCCTGACGTGGAGCTGCTGCTGGGCTGGGACCTTGGTTGGGTGAAGACTCCAGATACTTCCAGCAACAGGACCTGGGTTGGATGTGGGGTCTGGAGTTCCCCAGCTTATGCAGATGGAGAACTTGGGGCATGTGAGTTTCTTGTGGCTGTCCTAAAAAATACCACAAACTGGATGGCTTACAACAACCGAAGTTTGTCCTCTCACAGTTCTGGAGGCCACGAGTTTGAAATCAAGGTGTCAGCACAGCCACGCTCCCCTGAAGGTCTAGGGGTGACCCCTGCCTTTCCTCCTGCAGCTTCTGGGGGCTGCGGCAGTGCTCGGTGTTCTGGGCTGGCGGCAGCATCGCCCCCATCTCTGTTTCAACCTTCACACACCTTTTCCTGCCTCCTCTCCTGCCCCCACTCCTCTCCCGGACCTCCCTCATCTCCCTCATCTCCTGCCCATGCCTCCTCTCCCGCCCCCCGTCCCGCCCCCCTCCTCTCCCGGCCCCTCTCCTCTCCTCCCTCTTCTCCCCCCTCCTGCCCCCCTCCTCCTGCCCCCCTCCTCTCCTGCCCCTCCCTCCTCTTCTGCCCCCTCCTCTCCTGCCCCTCCCTCCTCTCCTGCCCCCCTCCTCTCCTGCCCCCTCTCCCGCCCCCCCTCTTCTGACCCTCCCTCCTCTCCCACCCCCCTCCTCTCCCCCCTCCTGCCCCCCTCCTCTCCTACCCCTCCCACCCCCTCCTCTCCTACCCCTCCCGCCCCCCTCCTCTCCCCCCTCCTGCCCCCCTCCTCTCCTGCCCCTCCCACCCCCCTCCTCTCCTGCCTGCACCTCCTCTTCTTATGAGGACCCTGTCGTTGGATTTAGGGCCTGGCTGGACACTTCAGGATGATTTTCTCCCAGGATCTTTATCTGCAAAGTGCCCCTTTCCAAACAAGGTCCCCTTCACAGACTCCAGCACACATGTCTTTTGGGGTCAGGGGTCACCATTCAACCCACAACTGGAGGTTGGGACCTCTGCCATTTCCCTGTCGGTGCCAGTAATTCCTGGTGATCTGGGAAGCAGTGGGTACAGAGGAAAGCTTGTCTTCTGGCCCCTGCCCTATTTGCTCCATGGGACAGACATGAGATTCCAGAGAACCCGGAAGCTGGTGGGCAGCAGGGAACAGGTGCCTGGGGATGACGCTGACGTGCCCGGGGATGACGCTGACGTGCCCGGGGAAGGCTAGAGTCCCTGGAGGCCCATTCGAGGCCTGCTCAGAGACTGGGAGGTTGGCGGAGCCGGGCAAGAGCCAGGGCCGGTGAGAACAGGAATGCGTTCAAACCCAGAAAGCAGCGGAGCCCGGGGCCGGATGGAGCGGTGCACGGTCCTCACACTCCCCTCTCTCCGCGTGTCTGTGGCTGAGCTCTGCTCTCCCGCCCCTCGCTGCAGGAGTTGGACTCGTGCTCCAGGAGCTGCGTGACGCAGGTGTCCTGAATGACACACTGGTGATCTTCACATCCGACAACGGGATCCCCTTCCCCAGTGGCAGGACCAACCTGTACTGGCCGGGCGCCGCCGAGCCCTTCCTGCTGTCATCCCCGGAGCACCCGAAACGCTGGGGCCAGGTCAGCGACGCCTACGTCAGCCTCCTAGGTATGCCTCTGCCTGCCTCCGTCAGGGAAGGGGTGGGAGCGGACGTGCACCGGGGCCGCGATGCGTCCGATGCTGCTCCACACCCGTTACCTCATGTGGCTCTTGTATCGTCTGGGCAAGGAAGGGACTGTTACTCCCACTGTACAGAGGAAAAGAATGAGGCTCAGAGGGGTCAAGTAGGCGTTCAAGACTGCACAGCTGGTAAGCACTAAGCTAGGATTCCAGCCTGGATCCCACTGCTGTCAAAACCATTGCTTTTCCCCCGCCTGCCCCGGATGAGCTTCAGAATCACCTGGGATGCTTGTTAATATCCAGACTGCAACCCCCAGAGTGTCTGATTCAGTAGATTTTGGTGGGGCTCAAGAATTTGCATGTCTGACATGTTCCCAGGTGATGCCGATACTGTGGGCCTGGGGACCCCTTTTTGAGCACCTCTGCACCCCATCCTGCCTTCCTGGGGGACCCAAAGCACCTCATGACCCTGCTCATTTTTAAAAAGCCCTGGGACACCTAGTCCCATGTTATGGACGTGCAGACAAAGATAGGGGTGCAGGAAGACTTTGTGAAGGGCTCGGGGTGAGCCCCTTGGCACAGGGCAGAGGCCCGCCGTGTCCTGCACAGCGCCTGGCAGAGCCTCCAGGAGGGGTGCGCTAGGGCGGCAGCACACTCAGGTTCCCTTTCCCTCCGAGCTTGGGGCCCACATCTCTCTGGCCCCAAATCATGAGCTGGGAGCAGAGGCGGCACCCACCAAAGGATGGGAGTAGACTTCTTTTCTGGTCCGTGGGATTTTAGGAGGGTCGTGAATGTCGGGCCTCTTGCCATGCCATCCAAGGCACCGTGGCCCAGAGAGATGGCTGGCGATGAGAGGTGTCAGCTGGACTAGGCGCATCCCGCTGCTGATTGGATTGGAGAAGGTAGCCGCCCAGAGCGCACAGGTTCGGCCCTTCGAGGGTAGCTCCTGCGTGCTGAGGGCTGTGCAGCTCTGAGACGCCGCTTCTCTTCCAGACCTCACGCCCACCATCCTGGACTGGTTCTCCATCCCCTACCCCAGCTATGCCATCTTTGGCTCGAAGACCATCCAGCTCACTGGCCGGTCCCTTCTGCCAGCGCTGGAGGCCGAGCCCCCCTGGGCCACCGTCTTCGGCAGCCAGAGCCACCACGAGGTCACCATGTCCTACCCCATGCGCTCTGTGCACCACCAGAACTTCCGCCTCGTGCACAACCTCAACTTCAAGATGCCCTTTCCCATCGACCAGGACTTCTACGTCTCACCCACCTTCCAGGACCTTCTGAACCGCACCGCAGCCGGGCGGCCCACGGGCTGGTACAAAGACCTCCATCGTTACTACTACCGGGCACGCTGGGAACTCTACGACCAGAGCCGGGACCCCCATGAGACCCAGAACCTGGCCACTGACCCACGCTTTGCTCAGGTTCTGGAGATGCTTCAGGCCCAGCTGTCCAAGTGGCAGTGGGAGACCCACGACCCCTGGGTGTGCGCCCCTGACGGCGTCTTGGAGGAGAAGCTCTCTCCCCAGTGCCAGCCCCTCCACAACGAGCTGTGACCACCCCGGGAGGCCTGTGCCCATGTCCCACACATATCCCTATGGGGCCAGCCTGGGGAGCAGTGACGACAGCCCTTCCCACTACACACCTGTCCAGGGTGGGTCCTTCTTCCTGCAGGGTGTCACACCCGCCAATGCCTGGAGGGGGACCAGAGCATGTGCCCAGCCCCTCCACCGCCAGGGGCACTGCTGTCATGGCAGAGGACACGGCTGTCTCGTGTCTGAACCACATCCCGGCACCAGAATTCTAGCCATGACATGCAGACAGGGCGGCATCCCCAGCCCATGGCAAGGAGGTCTGTTTTCTGGCTTGGTTTGGGGACCTGCAAATGGGAGGCTTGAGGCCTCTTCAGGCTTCGGCACCCACAGACGCTTCTGAGCCCCTCAGAGAGCAGGTGGGGGCTTCGGTGCCGCATGAGCAGCGGGCAGAGTGGGTCCCGGCTACACTCGCCTTCGAGCACAGCGCCTGGCTCTTCCCAGCCTCTGGCCCAGCAGAAGCCTTTGAATGACCCTTGGCCAGGTTTCTGCTTCTGTTTTGCCCCACAGTCAAGCACCAGGTCCCCAGGCAGGTTTCAGCTGGTTGGCAGCAGGCTCCCTGAGTGATGAGTGTTTCTGGGCAGAAGCGTCTCTCTTCTGAGAGCGTCTGAAGATGAAGGCATGGCGATGCCCTGTCCTCCGGCTTGGGTTAATTCTTGGGTGGCACCGGCACTGCTGGGGGGACACGCCATTCCCGCCTTGCCTCTGCCACCTCAGGAGCAGAAGCTGGGCCTGGACACCCCTCAAAGGAGAGGGCACTTCCTTGAGTGGGGGGGCTGCCCTTGCCCTTTCTGCCCTCACTCCATACTGGGGTGGGCTGGAGGGAGCCACAGAACAGCTACTGTAAAAGCTTTTTATTTTAGTAAAATATATATTTCTTTTCCTGAACTCGTTTATGACAATACTGAATTCTAAAACAGCTTCCTGGGTTTCGGACACTGTTGTCTAATGACATTCACTCTGCCGCAGTCCCAGGAGGTCGGGCAAGGTCGGGCAAGGCCAGGCGCTGGGGACCTGGGTCCTCCCCTGAGCCCTGGGGGTGGAGCCTCGATATTTGAGGGCTGGGGTGCAAAGTCAGGTTGGGGGAAGGCAGAGTCTGCCGTGCCCTGTAGAGGGGTGTTGGTGCCAGGCTCCTCCAAGACACCCCCACTGAACGGGCATGGAGGCCACAGGGCATGGGCCCCCTGAAAGTACTGTCTGTATCACCCAAAAACGTCATTTACAGGTAAACACACTGGCCTCTGTAAACTGGAGTCTGGAGGCATCGCAGCCTCAGAAGCTGAGGAAAGGTGGCCAGGGTCATGGCGTATGTGGGCTGGTGCCTCCGCCCCCGGCAAGGGTGGCAGCAACCTTGGGGACCCCCTGGCTCCCCACCCGCTGCCTCTGTGCTTTTGGAGCGAGCCTTTGACACATCAAAATGTAAAAGGGGGCCGGGCGCGGTGGCTCAAGCCTGTAATCCCAGCACTTTGGGAGGCCGAGGCGGGTGGATCACGAGGTCAAGAGATCGAGACTATCCTGGTCAACATGGTGAAACCCCGTCTCTACTAAAAATACAAAAAATTAGCTGGGCATGGTGGCGCGTGCCTGTAATCCCAGCTACTCAGGAGGCTGAGGCAGGAGAATTGCCTGACCCCAGGAGGCGGAGGTTGCGGTGAGCCGGGATCGCGCCATTGCACTCCAGCCTGGGTAACAAGAGCGAAACTCCGTCTCAAAAAAAAAAAAAAAAAAAAAAAGTAAAAGGGAAGTGCAGGCCCACAGATTTGAATCAGGCCTACAGACAGGTGGTTTTGCAGAGAAGCCTGGGGCCTCCAGTTCTAGGGAAGGCGTGGAAAGACGTCCCTCCCTTCCCACTGCAGAAACATTCTCAGGGTCTCCAGTTCAGACCATGGCAAGCCCAGGTGACGGGTGAAGATGATTTCCACAGAAAGGTAAGCAGATGCAAGTGGCTTCACCATGTGCATCCTGCACGTGGTGAGGGTTCAAGGTTAGACCCCAGCCAGAGAGGAGAGCTGGCCTCGTGCCAGGGAGCCCACAGTTCTGCCAGAGGCCCTGTGCTCAGGAACAGGACTGCATTCACCGGCACCCAGAGGCCCCCACAGTCCCGGGCCCGTCACTGGGGGCTCTGCTCCGCCCACACCACCTTCTTCTGCTCGTCGGCGATGGCCTGGCGGACACAGCTGAGCAGGCCGTCCACGTCACTCCAGCTCTCGGGAGCCAGGGTGCTGTACAGACCGGGCGCCCGGTCCAGGTCTCCCTCCTCCTGCCTGGCAGCCTCCAGGAGCTGTTCCTCCGAGGTGCCCAGCCGCTGTAGGCCCTTCCTGCACAGGCCAGAGACGGAGTGTGGGCTCAGGGGAGGGCAAGGGCCCAGCAGCCCAGCTGGGGTAGTGTTGACACGCACCCAAACACCCCTAAACACAGGTGGCCTCGCTTTGAGGGGACCTTGTAAAGAAGATGGGGCCCAGGCCCCGGCAGTGGGGTCGGGCCGTCTGGAACGCAGCCTTGGCTCCTGTCCCGGAGTGGAAAGGGCACAGCAGCAAGACATCTTGGTCTGTCCCCAGTAAACCAAGTCATTTTTCTTTTTTGCCTTTTTTTTTTTTTGTCCTTAGCCCAATAGGGTTAGACTGTACCCCAGTAAGTGCGGAGTGTCAGTGGAGCTGAGGCCGGGTCCGGGTTTGGCCTCACAGTGGTCCTCTAGGCTGCTCTTGGGGAGGGAGTGCCAATGTTTTAATTTACAACTTTAAATTTCAATGATAAAATGCCATTTGCCAGTGACTGGGCTACTTTTGCCCACTGCAAAAGGTACCCTCACCCTGGTATCAAGATTCCTGAGATAGCCGGGTGTGGTGGCTCAAGCCTGTGATCCCAGCACTTTGGGAGACTGAGGCGGGTGGATCACAAGGTTAAGAGATCGAGACCATCCTGGTCAACAAGGTGAAACCCCGTCTCTACTAAAAATCCAAAAAATTAGCTGGGCATGGTGGCGCGTGCCTGTAATCCCAGCTACTCAGGAGGCTGAGGCAGGAGAATTGCCTGAACCCAGGGGGCGGAGGTTGCGGTGAGCCGAGATCACACCATTGCACTCTAGCCTGGGTAACAAGAGTGAAACTCCGTATCAAAAAAAAAAAAAAGATTTCTGAGAGGCCAGATTTGAAATCAAGTTTGTTTGGTGAGCATGAAATCAGAGTAGTTTTTAAAATTTTTTTTGAGACAGAGTTTCGCTCTTGTTACCCAGGCTGGAGTGCAATGGCGCGATCTCGGCTCACCGCAACCTCTGCCTCCTGGGTTCAGGCAATTCTCCTGCCTCAGCCTCCTGAGTAGCTGGGATTACAGGCACGCACCGCCATGCCCAGCTAATGTTTTGTATTTTTAGTAGAGACGGGGTTTCACCATGTTGACTAGGATGGTCTCGATCTCTTGACCTCATGATCCACCCGCCTCAGCCTCCCAAAGTGCTGGGATTACAGGCGTGAGCCACCGCGCCCGGCCCAGTAGTTTTTTTTTCTTTTTTGACAGTCTCTCGCTGTTGCCCAGACTTGAGTACAGTGGCTTGATCTTGGCTCACTGCAACCTCCGCCTCCCGGGTTGAAGAGATTCTCCTGCCTCAGTTTCCTGAGTAGCTGAGATTACAAGTGCCCACCACCACGCACAGCTAGTTTTTATTTTGTTTTTCTTTTGCTTATTTGTGTTTGAGATGTAGTCTTGCTCTGTCACCGAGGGTGGAGTGCAGTGGTGTGATCTCTGGCTCATTGCAACTCCTCCACCTCCCGGGTTCAAGCAGTTCTCCTGCCTCAGCCTCCCAAGTAGCTGCGACTACAGGTTTATGCCACCATGCCCTGCTAACTTTTGTATTTTTAGTAGAGACAAGGTTTTTGCATTTTGGCCAGGCTGGTCTCGAACTCCTGACCTCAAGTGATCTGTCCACCTCAGCCTCCCAAAGCGCTGGGATTACAGGCATGAGCCACCACACCCAGTCTAGTTTTTTTTTTTTTTTGAGACGGAGTTTCGCTCTTGTTACCCAGGCTGGAGTGCAATGGCGCGACCTCGGCTCACTGCAACCTCCGCCTCCTGAGTTCAGGCAATTTTCCTGCCTCAGCCTCCTGAGTAGCTGGGATTACAGGCACGTGCCACCATGCCCAGCTAATTATTGTATTTTTAGTAGAGACGGGGTTTCACCATGTTGACCAGGATGGTCTCGATCTCCTGACCTCGTGATCCACCTGCCTCGGCCTCCCAAAGTGCTGCGATTACAGACATGAGCCACCATGCCCGGCCAAAATCAGAGGAATGTCATGAGCTATCAGCAGGGCCTCTGTCCCAAAGTTGTGTGGAAACTGCCCCGTCAGTGCCTCAGTTTCCTGAAAGCCGCAGAACACATTCCAGAGGCACCTGCTGTGGGCTTCTGGGGAGCCCAGGAGCCACTTCAAAGCCCGCTGCCCAGCCCCCAGCGTGCACCTACTTGAGCTTCTTTGCCATCTTCTCATTGACAGAGACGTGGATGACGATAGGGAAGATGTCCATTCTGTGCAGGGCACGGACACTGTCCAGCCGGACGTCCAGGAGGGCGTGGATGTTCTTTGCAGGAAGGAGAGGGAGAAGTGAGTCAAGATCAGGGGCCTCAGAGGAAGCACGCGCTCAGGTCTAAAGGGCCCTCTGGGCAGGCTGAGGGCAGGCGCTGGGCAGTACTGAATTTTGCAGAGGAGATGGGGGAAGAGAGCTTGCCACTTTCTTCTCTTTTTATTTTTTTAGTTTCTAATTTCTTTGTAGAGACGGTGTCTCATTATGTTGCTCAGGCTGGTCTCACACTCTTGGGCTCAAGCAATCTTCCTGCCTAGGCCTCCCAAAGTATGGGGATTGGCTGGGTGCGGTGGCTCAAGCCTGTAATCCCAGCACTTTGGGAGGCCGAGGCGGGTGGATCACGAGGTCAAGAGATCGAGACCATCCCGGTCAACATGGTGAAACCCCGTCTCTACCAAAAATACAAAAACTTAGCTGGGCATGGTAGTGTGTGCCTGTAATCCCAGCTACTCAGGAGGCTGAGGCAGGAGAATTGCCTGAACCCAGGAGGCGGAGGTTGCGGTGAGCCGAGATCGCGCCATTGCACTCCAGCCTGGGTAACAAGAGCAAAACTCCGTCTCAAAAAAAAAAAAAAAAAAAAGTATGGGGATTACAGGCATGAGCCACCATGCCTGGCCACTTTCTTCTTTATTTACGAGGCAGAGTTTTGCTATTATTGCCAAAGCTGGAGTGCAATAGTGCAGTCTTGGCTCACTGCAACCTCTGCTTTCTGGGTTCAAGCAATTTTCCTGCCTCGGCCTCCTGAGTAGCTGAGATTACAGGCCTGTGCCATGATACCCAGCTAATTTTTGTATTTTTAGTAGAGATAGGGGTTTCGCCATCTTGGCCAGGCTGGTCTTGAACTCCTGACCTCAGGGATCCACCCGCCTCAGCCTCCCAAAGTGCTGGGATTAGAGGTGTGAGCCACCACACCTGGCCCTCGTTTAATTTTTTTTAGTTAAATGTTTTCTATTTAGAGACGGGGGTCTCACTGTGTTGCTCAGGCTGGTCTCAAACTCCTGGGCTCAAATGATTCTCCCACCTCGGCCTCACAAAGTGCTGGGGTTACAAGTGTGAGCCCCTGGGTCCAGCCAAGTTCGCCACTTTCTAAATAAGGCTGTGCAGTCTGAAGAGTGTCCATCCCTTTGATTTTTCACTGAGAAAATCTAGAAACTGAGCTCTGGGGACTGAGGTGGACTTGGCATGGAGCTCTGCCAGCCCCTAGGGAGACACCCAGATGCCAGGCCCTGCTTCCCACACCTGTGCAGACAAAGCTGTGGGCCACGGAGAACTGCTTTTCACGCGTTCTCGTGTGCTGGCAAACATGGAGCGTGTTGTTATCTGGGATCTGTTCATTCTCCAACAAATACCTATGAAGCACTCCCCTACCCCCAGCTGAGGAAACTGAGGCTCAAGCAGCTGGGAGGCTTCACCCACGATCACGTCAATCTTAAACTGGCTGAGATGAGGTCTGGGCTCCTGCTGGGGTGTTGGGGCCCAGAGGTCGGTGACAAGGTCACCAGGTCTCAGGTCAGTCCCTGTACCTTTATCTCATCCCCCTCCTCTGCATTCCCAAAACCCTCCCCAGGACAGCTCCCCTACCCACCCCCGGTTGCCCTCACCTTTTCCATGAGGGACTCCACAGCATGGCGGGTCACCCAGCAGCGGCCCCCAGACACCTCTCCCTCCTGGACAATGTCCCCTCTCTGGCTCCAGGCCTCATATTCCTCCTGACTCAAGTACTCTGCAGATGACATCGGACAGGGCCCTCATACACCAGCTGCGTGGGGGTCCGAGGGAGTCCCATGGTTAACACCCCTGTCGCCAGGCGCCCCGCCAGCCCTGGGAGAAGCTCTTCCTAGGGCGTCCACTTTACACACCTGGCTCTGCACCCCCGCTCTGTGCCCTGCACCTCCATCCTGAACTATCTGGACAGAGTAAGTGAGCGTGGGAATGTGCACTGTGGGGAAGGGAAGGAGATGAAGGTAGAGGAGGAGGGAGGGAGGGAGGGAGGGAGGGAGGTGTGAAGGAAGGGACTGGAGGAGGGGAGGAGGGGAGAAGGGGTTTCCAGTAACAGCATACCTGCCAGGCACTTCTTAAACCCTTGGAGGAGGCACAGCTTCTCGCTCAGGATCTTCCCAACCACCCTGGGCACGAAGAGCACAGGCCGGGGCCCGGCAGGCTGATGCGGGCGCACCAGCGTGTAGGGCACCAAGGTGAAGCAGCTCTCGGCCCAGAAGCGCGTGCTGGAGTCTGCGGAGGAGGGGAGCCAGAGGGTGGGGAGGCTGCCGCAGCCTGGGCCTGCTTTGCTCACTGCGGCAGCCCCAACACCTAGAGTACCAGGTCACAGGCTCAGAGGTCACAGGGCTCGGTTCCACAGCCCCAGCAGAGCGGCTCCTTCGCACGTGCGTTACACAGCTCTGTGGCTCTCCAGGCACCGCTTTGCAGCCTGCAACTGCATCCCGGTTTCCTCTAGGCCTCAGGGAGGATGGCAGGACCAGGCTTTTCTTCCCTCCAAAGAATCTGGGAGAGCAGCACCCTTCTCCTCAGCCATCTCCCAGGGCACAGGATTCAGCCTTCCCTCTGTCCGGAGCCCTGTACTCCGCTCCTGAACTTTTTTTTTTTGAGATGGAGTCTCGCTCCGTCACCCAGCCTGGAGTGCAGTGGGGTGATCTCAGCTCACTGCAACCTCTGCCTCCCGGGGTCAAGTGGTTCTCCTACCTCAGCCTCCTGAGTAGCTGGAATTACAGGTGTGTACCACCACACCCAGTTAATTTTTGTATTTTTAGTAGAGACAGGGTTTCACCATGTTGGCCAGGATGGTCTCAAACTCCCAACCTCAAGCGATCCCCCCACCTTGACCTCCGAAAGTGCTGGGATTACGCTTCTGGACTGGGTTGGTTTTTTTTTTTTTTTTTTTTTTTTTTTTTTGGACTATTCTATTCCCACAGATTACAGAAGTAGGAGCACTGGCTTACAGGACTTTAAAGATAGGTAGCTCAATTGCTCTCCAAAAATGCATGTGGATGTGAACCATGATTCTTAAAGAGCAGATCCTGTCCTAAATGAGTGGCCTCCCCCTGCCCCAGCGGACCAGCTAGCAGCAGCTCCCAAAGCCCCTAACCCACTTGGAGCCAGCGGCCCCTGTGCCAGCTCACCAGGCCTCACCCTCCATCCTGCTGGAGTCCGACTTGCCCCTGTCGAAGGACAGACACAGAGGGCTGGCCTTGGCTTTGTCCATACTGACGATGCGGACCAGCTTCTGCGGTCCCCCGGAAGACGGCTGGAGGAGGGACGGAGAAGGGAGGAGGAGGAGCTGCCAAAATCATCCACATGGGCCCAGCAGCCCCATCCTGACACCCCGCCCCCACCAGCAAAGCCAGTGTGGTCTCTGCACCATCAGACTGTGCCTACTGAACAGCCAGGATGCCCAGAGCCTGTGGCGGGTGGGGGGGGGGACGCCAGGAGTCCGCAGGTTGACAGTCGCAAAGCAGGGCCCTGCAGTGAGGGGTGGGCTGCCAAGGCAGGAGGAAGGACAGAGGTCTCCCCCGTGCCCAGCCCCGCATCATCCTGGGGAACTGGCCGAGCCCCGTTCTGTGGTTCTTAGCAACAACCGCACGGACAGGCGGGTGCTTAGCAACCTGCCAAGTGTCCCGTGTCTGGAGAACACAAAGGCTCCTGGTGCAGAGGAGGAGGAATTCAGGGAAGATGACTGTCACTGGGGTGCCCGGGGAGTTATGCAGAAACACGGCTGCTCTGAGAGCACCACGAGATGTGCTACACCCGTGCAAGAGCCTGCAGGCTGGCTGGGGCCGCAGACCCTGTCCTGGTTTGCAGGGGCCCAGAGGAGAGACAGGCGGAGTCATCCTCCTCCAATTAGCACCCCACACTCCCACACTCCGCCTCCCTGCCAGCACTGTTTCCCTCTGCCAGCTCATCCCAGGGGGCCAGGACCCTCCCCGGAGCCTCACCTTGCGGGTGACTGTGCACTGCTGAGTCATGTCCTGGATGAGGGCTATGAGCTGCTGCTGAGCCCTGCGCAGACCAGGAGAGGTCCTGTGCCAGCTGCCTCTCGCCAGGAGAGCCAGGCAGGGGAGAGCGGGGTTGGGGAAGCGGGGCAGTGGGGAGCTGAGCAGGAGAGAGCTGGGCAGTGGGGAGCCGGGCAGTGGGGAGCCAGGCAGGGGAGAGCTGGGCAGGGGACAGCAGGGCAAGGGGGAGTGGGGAAGATGGCTAGGTGGGAGGGGACGCGCTCCACCTAGAGCTCCAGACACCCCGTTGCTCCAGGCAGGAGTGCTCCACCCTGGCAGCCATCACAGTCTCCAGAGCTTTCCAAAGACTCCGGGCCCTGAGCCCGCCCCTGGAGATGCTGATTTACTCATCCTGGGATGGGACGCAGGGGATGCTGGTGAGCAGCCAGTGTGCAGGGCCCTGCTCCGGAACCTCACTATTTACAGTGGGTCCGTGGCCTGCAGCTTGGAGTCACCAAGAAAGCTGTTAGAAATGCAGGTGCCAGCCCTCTCCCAGGACCTGGCTCTGATTCCGAAGGCACTTGAGTTTGCAATAAGGGTTGGGGATGCACTGAGCATTCTGCACACTTGAACCTCGGAGCCTCCTGTAGGCCGATCTAGAGCAATGGTTTTCAATGGAGCAGGGCAGGACGCAATGTCACTCCCCAGGGAGGGTGACCAGCTGTCCCTGCTGCTTGCCCAGGACTGAGGGGCTCCCCGCATGTGGGGCTTTCAGTGCTAAGACTGACAGTCCTAGGAGGACCAGGGGACCCTCGGCAACATAGGGAGACATTTCTAGTTGTCACAAATGGGGCGTGGGAGCGCGCCCGGCATCCTGTGTAGGAAGGCCCCACTACGGGCAGGGATCCAGCCCCAAACGTTTATGGTACCAAAGCTGACAAACCCTGCTCTAGAAAGTTCCAGCATGAACATTTCATTTGCAAGAGATAAAGCATCCATCACACACAAAAACGCCATCTTCAGCAGTGATCTCGGCAGGCTCCCCTCCGTAGGGGGGATCTCACCACGACCACCCTCTATTCCCGGGCAGGAGGAGGAAGCTGAGACAGGCTGGGCCCCGTTCCCCATGGGCTTCTCTGGGGCCACGCCAGGCTCTGGGAAGCTGCTCACCGGGAGTAGCTGGGGATGGTGCCGTGGCCCGCGGCATCCTTCATGGTGTAGGGGTTCAGGCGGTGGGCGTGCCAGCAGCAGTGGCCCTGGAACATGGTGTCGGTGACGTGCAGGACCTCATTGCAATGCACCTGCAGCTCCCCCTTGGCCCTCCCCTCCATGGCCAGGTTGACCCGGATGTAGAATGAATCCCCTGAGGTCACCACTTTGGCCTCCAGGTCCTGGAGCAGCCTCTTATAACCTGATGAGAGGGAACAGGAGCCACAGATGAGCTGCGGATGCAAGCCCCCGCCTCGGGGAAGGTTGCAGAACAGGAAAGTCACAAAGAAGGAAGGACCCTGCCCCAGCCTCAGACGCCACTCTGGCGCTGGAGTCAGTGAGTGGGAGGTTTCCAGCCGGCTTGGGGGCCTCCCGGGGACCTGGGGCACAGCCTGGCTGATCCTCTCCTGGCCCCTGGGTGCTGGGCATGCAGAGAAGCCAGGGACCCAAGGGTCACGGAGACCGGCCAGGCAGCTGTGCACTGGAGAGGGGTGGCGTGTGTACCGTCCATGTTGACCTTCACAGACAGGCAGCAGAAGCCGTCCACCCTCCCGAGAAGCCCCACGGCCTGCTCCAGGGTTGTGTCCTCCAGGACTGCCTTGAACAAGGGCTCTGAGGCTTCGTGTTCAACCTGAGGGCAAGTTGAGAAGGTCAGTCTCTTTCCCGCAGGACTCTGAATCCAGCCGGGACACAGAGGGCACTCAGGGCGCCTGCACGCCTGACTAACATGCAGCTGCCCCACAGAGGCTCTGCGGGGTCTTCCAGCCTCTCCTGACGCACGCTACACACATTCCTGGCCAGAGAGTCAACCGCCAGCCCTTCCCCCACCCTTCCGCTGCTGAGGTCGGGGTTTCTCGGTGATAAGCATTTTCCTCTCTTGAAAGAAAACAAAGAAAGGACCCCAGTTCTAGAGCATGCAAGAGCATTCTAGATAGGGGTTTCTCAGCCTTGGGGTCACACTGTGTTGCTGCAGGCTGTCGTGGGCCCTACAGGCTGCTGAGTGGCGTCCCTGGCCTTCACCCCTCAATGCCATGGCTCTCCCACCCACAGCCTGCCCCACCGCGAAGGTCCACCCTGCGGGACTTCTGCCGTCCACTTCATTTCTTCTCAACATTGTTCTAAGCTTGGAAGAGTAGATATTTTTTTACGGTAAAAAATTAAGATGTGTTTTAACGCCGTTAAAACTGAATTGGTCCCCTTAGGATACTGGGACTATCTCCCTGAGCATCCTAAATGTGCTCCGTTGCTTGAACTACCACATAGCTGGTAACTGGGAAACCTTAGAGCAGGGGTGCCCAATCGCTGGACCACAGACTAGTACCGGCCCATGGTCTGTTAGGACCCCAGCCACACAGCAGGAGGGGAGGGGTGAGCGAGTGAGCATTGCCACGTCAGCTCCGCCTCCTGTCTGATCAGCACAGCATTAGATTCCCACAGGAGCCCGGACCCTACTGTGAACAGCGCATGAGGGACCCAGGTTGTGTGTTCCTTATGAGAATCTAACGCCTGATGATCTGTCACTGCCTCCCGTCACCTCCAGAGGAGACCATCTGCAGGAAAACAAGCTCAGGGCTCCCGCTGCTTCTGAATTATGATGCCGTATATAATCATTTCATTGTATATTACAGTGTAATCATAATAGAAATAAAGTGCACAATCAATTGAACGGCTTGAACTATCCCCAAACAGTCTCGCCGTCCCCGGTCTGTGGAAAAGTTGTTTTCCATGAAGCTGGTCCCTGGTGCCAAAAAGTTTGGGGACTGCTGCTTACGAGGATGGTTAGAAATGCAAAGAAGGGCCAGGCATGGTGGCTGACATCTGTAATCCCAGCACTTTAGGAGGCTGAGGCTGGTAGATCACTTGAGGTCAGGAGTTTGAGACCAGCCTGGCCAACGTGGTGAAACCCCGTCTCTACTAAAACTACAAAAATTAGCCCGGCTTGGTGGTGCACACCTGTAATCCCAGCTACTTGGGAGACTGAGGCAGGAGAATCGCCTGAAACCAGGAGGTGGAGGTTGCAGTGAGCTCAGATTGTGCCACTGCACTCCAGCCTGGGCAAAAGAGTGAGACGCTGTCTCAAAAAAAAAAAAAAAAAAAAAAAAAAAAAAAAAAAGAGAGAGAGAGAGAGAACTGTAAAGAAGGGCTTTCTGGGTTGAGTGGAGGGGAGAGCACAGGAGGACACTTGCATTAGGAGCTCCGTGTGCCACTGTTTGAGCCCCGGGGGAGCTCGGCATTTGGACAGCCTGTTCCAAGCGGGCAGCGAGGGGTGCGTGGAACACTCCTGTCACTGTCTCCCGTCAGCCCCAGAGGAGACAAGGGGTTCAGCCCCATCCTCTCCCCTCCTCTGTGCTCACCTTCCCACCCCAGACCCCCCATCCCCAGTGCCCTCCTGGGGGCCACAGGGTGAGCCTCTGGGATAAGGTGGAGCCCATCTTGCACATTTCTTGGTTTAAACTGTTTTTCATATTAAGAAAGCACCAGGCTTCCCTTTTTCTTTCCTTTTCTTTCTTTTTTTTGAGGCAGGGTCTTGCTCTGCTGCCCAGGCTCGAGTGCAGTGGTGCAATCATAGCTCACTGCAGCCTCCATCTCCTGGGCTCAGCCATATGAGTAGCTATGACTGCAGGCGTGCACCACCGTGCCCAGAAGCATTTTCTTTTCTTTTTTTTTTTTTTTTTTTTTTTTTTGAGACAGAGTCTTGCTCTGTCACCCAGGCTGCAGTGCAGTGGCCTCAGCTCACTACAGCCTCTGGGTTCAAGCAATTCTCCTGCCTCAGCCTCCTGAGTAGGTGGGATTACAGGCATGTGCCACCACGCCCAGCTAACTTTTGTATTTTTAGTAGAGACAGGGCTTCACCATGTTGGTCAGGCTAGTCTCGAACTCCTGACTTCATGATCTGCCCACCTCTGCCTCCCAAAGAGCTGGGATCACAGGCATGAGCCACCTCATCCAGCAAAGTATTATTATTATTATTTTTTGGCTTAAAGTTTAATCTGCTTTTAGGCAATATCAAAGTCACCCTCTCTGCCCATGTATCACTAATAATTAGTTAGGTTGTACTTTTTTTTTTTTTTTTCCTTTTGAGAAGGAGGCTCACTCTGTCACCCAGGCTGGAGTGCAGTGGTGTGATTTAGGCTCACTGCAACCTCTACTTCCTGGGCTCAAGTGATTCTTCTGCCTCAGCCTCCCAAGTAGCTGGGATTACAGGTGCCCACCACCACACCTGGCTAATTTTTGTATTTTAGTAGAGACAGGGTTTTGCCATGTTGTCCAGGCTGGTCTTGAACTCCTGACCTCAAGTGATTTGCCTACCTTGGCCTCCCAAAGTGCTAGGGTTACAGGCATGAGCCACCGCACCTAGCCAGGTTGTACATTTGTGCCCATTTATCTTCTCAGCAGTTTTGTGCATTTTATAACAACAAAAAAGAGTTTTAGAAAATGCCCCCAAATTAGCTGGGCATGGTAGCGCATGCCTGTGTTCTGGTCCCAGCTACTTAAGAGGCTGAGGTGGGAGGATCAGCTGAGCCTGGAGAGGTCGAGGCTGCAGTGAGCCGTGATCAAACCGCTGCTCTCCAGCCTGGGTGACAGAGTGAGATCCTGTTTGAAAAACAAGCAAACAAAGGAACAAAAACAACCAAAAAAAAAAAAAACCATAAAACAAAAAACAAAACAAAACAGGAAAAAAAATGAAAGAAATGCCCCAATGGGTAAAATAGTGAACTTTATGTCATGTGTTTTTTACTGCACACACCCAAAGTGACCACCCAGAACAGCCCTGTCAAGGGACCCCATGCAAAGACCCCTGGTCAGAAGCACTGCATGGCAGCAGCCACCGTGGGTGACGCGTGGGTTCCCCTCAGCGTGACTCTCATCTATAAATGAGCAGAATGCTTTACAGCAGCCCAGTAAAGAGCATGGGCCCAGCCCAGAGTCGATCTGTGTCGCCTGGGCATCTGAAGCCTGCCTGAGTCACCCCACCTGCTGCTGTTGACCCCACGCGGAGGCAGGAGGGGCCTCGCATGGCTCACCATCACGATCTGGGTGCCTGGACGCAAAGCCATCTGGTCCGCCGCCGAGCCCGGGGTGACCCGGTGGATGAAGATGCCCGTGGAGTTCCCACCGATGACGCTGATCTGCTCCAGTAATGCATCCCCCTGGAACGCCAGCGCCGTGACCTGGCTCAGGATCCTACGGGCCCGCCTCCGCCTCATGAGCACGCTGCTGCAGGCCGGGAGATGACCGGCTTGTGTGCTGCCCAGAGCAGGAGAGCCGGCTAGGCCATCTCCCCACGGCTTCCTACTAGCCCCAGGGTTCTGGAATTCTCCCGCCGCATGGCCCCACGTGCTTGGAAAGGCTGCCGCCTCCCAGTGGCGATAGAACAATCACCCTCTGCTCTGCCACTCCCTGGCCCTGGTTCCCAGCCAGCCTCGGAGGGTTCCCACCTACTGCTTACCTCTCCGAGACATCCAGGCTTCCAGCGGAGAATGGCTGCAGGCTGCTGTCCAGCTGGGGAAGATCTGGGAGGAAGCAAGAGCTTACAGATCTTGGTCACCCCACTGCTGACAGGGCCTCGGGTAACCTGCTGTGACCTCGCCCCTTCTCCCTCAGCCTCAGATCCCAACCCCGCCACCTGTTCCATCCTCTTTGCTGAGGCTGAGCTTTCTGTTCCTCCACCCCTTCCTCAATGCTTAGAACCCCGATTCCATTTTCCCAAAATCACTGTAACTAGTGGGAGCTGTAACTGGGAGGGTCTGAACACCACATGCTATTTTCTGATATTTGGATGAGTTGCCAACATTTAAAAGATAGGGAGATTTCACCTTGAATCTGGATTTCTGGCTTCACTTGAAAAAAAATATCTGCTGTAACCCTGGGGCTGCATTTCTGCACTGACCTGCATTTCTGCACTGGCCTGCATTTCTGCACTGGCCTGCATTTCTGTACAGGCCTGCATTTCTATACTGGCCTGCATTTCTGCATTGAGCTCCATGTCTGCATGGGCCTGCATTTCTGTACTGGCCTGCATTTCTGCACTGGCCTGCATTTCTGTACTGGCCTGCATTTCTGCACGGGCCTGCATTTCTGTACTGGCCTGCATTTCTGCACTGGCCTGCATTTCTGCACGGGCCTGCATTTCTGCATGGGCCTGCATGACTGCATTGGTCTCCATGTCTGCATGGGCCTGTGCTGACCTGCATTTCTGCACTGCTCTGCATTTCTGGGTGGCAGCAATCACTGGCCAGCAGCTGCCTGCTGCTTACCCCAGGCCACTCTACTTCCCAGCTGGTGAGGGCAGGCCTCTGAGTTGTCAATCCTGGGACTAAAGGCTCCCAGGATCTCCCAAGCTCTCGCATTTTACTGTGCAGCCTGTGAGCCCCCGAGAGCCAGGGAGCAGCCTGCCAGCGTCCACGGCGGGAAGTCTCACTCTGTGACCCACACAGGAGAACCAGAGCCAGCAGAAACCAAAGAGTTCTCTAGGCCTGGCTCATAGGCAGAATCCCATTGCGATCACATTCAAAGCCAATGAAACGAGGTGTGTATTCCTGATGTATCTGAGGTCAATTCTGCTAAAAATATATGCAACCAGGGCATCATGCAGAATGCTCACAGAGGAAAAATAAAGAGGAATAAGCCCTCCCTTCTCATCTCACATCTAATTTAGATATGCCTTGAGTGGACTCTCTCGATTTATCACTGTTATAAACAAAAATGTGTATGAGTCCCCAAAGGGGAAGGTTTCTGATCACACGACCCACAGAAGGCAGAGGAGCAGCACGGGGTGGGCAGTGCAGGGCACTGGTGGCCATGGGGTGAATTCCAGATGGGGAGCAAAGCACCTACTGTGTGCAGTGCTCATGGCTGGAGCCAGCTGTGCTGAGGCGGAAAGGCTAAGGTACCCACCTGTGATGGGCCCATGGACTTGGGACAGAGAGAAGGCTGGTTCAATCACAAACAAATGAGCCACATTCTGGAGAAACGCGAGGCCTCAGAACCAGCACCTGAGAGGAGAGGTGCTCCCCTCGGGGAGATGCCACTCTGTGCCTCACCTCAGCCGGGCACCACGAAGCAACCCTGCCTGCTGCCTCCTGAAACCACTGGGAAGCCCAAGCGTCTCCACAGATCAGAGCAGGGTGCTGGGTGCTGAGCAGGGGGTGGGTCAAACACAACTCCCCTGGCTCTAGGGAAAAACACAAGGAGGCCAGCAAACAGAGCACAGCCGGGTTCTGGCTTATGCTCCCTGGCAGACGGGACTTTCCCAAAGTGCAAGGTTGAGGCCAAGGTCAAGGCCCAGGGCAGACGCTGAGCTCTGCTTCTCTCTGCCCTTTCCCTGGGGAGAAGCCCTGGCTGTCTCGTCAGTTTCCTGCTCTGCCGGGGGGAGGTGGACTGCTGTGGACGTTCAGGGTTGGGCGCACTTACCTGCCCCATCTAGGAGCTCGTAATCCAGGTCTGTGTCACCCGCCTTTGCTCCTGGCGGGGCTCCCAGGCCTACTTCCGGAATCTCCAGGCAGCTGCTGCAAAACATGAGAAGCCGCAGGCTCCAACTGCATCACCTGCTCCCTCTGAGTCCCCACACCCCAAGCACTGGCCGCCCAGCAGCTGCCAGCTTCAGGGCTTCGAGGGCAGGAGCTCCTGCCTGTAATACTCAGATGCCCTGAAGTCTAGGCTGGTTTCTCTGGTGAGTCGCCAGGAAGGACTCCAGTACCACATGCTCTACCTGAAAGACCAGGATTCTTCCCCGAAGTCGTCGGCCAACCGCTTGTACAGGGACTGCTGGCTGGGGGGCACAGGGCTCCTAGAGCGGAAGCTGTCCACCAGCTCGCGGCTGGATGTGGCGCTCAGGTCCGACCAGAGCTGAGACTGGAGGAGGGAGGGCAGAGGTCAGCGGCGCACGCAGGAGGACACCCCGAGACTCCTCCCTTGTTCCCCCATGGTGTAGAGAGAGTGAGCCACAGTGAGAACTGAGTGGAGGGGAGGCAGCAGGAGGGGAAGGAAGGACAAACACGGGAGTCACACGCACTGAGCGCCTGCTGTATACCAGGCACTCTATTAGCTGCTTGGCTTAGTTCTCATGATACATCTGTAAGCTGGCACTGCCATCCCATTTTACATGTAAATCGATGTGGCTTGGCTGTCGGGCTGGGTGCAGTGGCTCAAGCCTGTAATCCTAGTACTTTGGGAGGTTGAGGCCGGCAGATCATTTGAGGTCATAAGTTCAAGACCAGCCTGGTCAACATGTTGAAACCCTGTCTCTAATAAAAATATAAAAAGTAGCTGGGTGTGGTGGTGGGCACCTGTTATTCCAGCTACTTGGGTGGCTGAGGCAGGAGAATCACTTGACCCTGTGAGGTGAAGGTTACAGTGAGCTGAAATTGTACCACTGCACTCCAGCCTGGGTGACAGAGGAGACTCTGTCTCATAAAATAAGGGCCAGCCATGGTGGCTTATGCCTATAATCCCAGCACTTTGGGAGGCCAAGGTGGGTGGATCACCTTGGGAGTTCGAGAGCAGCCTGACCAACATGGAGAAACCCCATCTCTACTAAAAACACAAAATTAGCTGGGTGTGGTGGCGGGTGCCTGTAATTCCAGGTATGCTGGAGGCTGAGGCAGGAGAATCGCTTGAACCCAGGAGGCAGAGTTTGCGGTGAGCTGAGAACACGCTATTGCACTCCAGCCTGGGCAACAAGAGCGAAACCCTGTCTCAAAAAACAAATAAATAAATAAATAATAAAATAGGCTGGGTACAGTGGCTCACACCTGTAATCCCAGCACTTTGGGAGGCCGAGGCAGGTGGATCATGAGGTCAAGAGATCAAGACCATCCTGGCCAACACAGTGAAACCTCATCTCTACTAAAATACAAAAATTAGCTGGGTGTGGTGGTGTGCGCCTGTAGTCCCAGCTACTCTGGAGGCTGAGGTAGGAGAATCATTTGAAGCAGGGAGGTGGAGGTTACAGTGAGCCAAGATCGTGCCACTGTACTCCAGCCTGGCACCCGGTGACAGACCAAGACTCTGTCTCTAAATAAATAAATAAATAAATAAATAAATAAATAAATAAATAAAATAAGAATAATAAAATAAAACTCTCCTAATTGCACCAACCTCTTCCCTGTGGGGACAGGGTGGAAGGAGGCCCACTTTCATTCTGACTGAGGCCTTGTGCCGGCCCAGAGGGTCAAGGCAGTGAGGACAGCCCTACCTCCGAGGAGCTGGCGAGGCTGCTCTGGCTGTCATCTCTGGGGCCGACGGCGTGCCTCCGCGCCAGCCGCTGCTTCTCCCTCGCACAGGGCTCCCTGGTCCTGGCTTCCTGCTTGAGCTGCCAAAGACAGGCCAGACAGGCTGGTTAATTCAGGAGAGGTTCCCCTTCCAGGCCCGTGGGGTTTCTGCCGGGTCAGCACCCCCTGTCCCACCCCCCAGCAGCTTCCTCTCATCAGCTTCCAGGGAAAACAATCTATCCCTGTCCTCCGAGCCCAGGGCCAGCATCGCAGGTGCCATCAACGGGACCGAAAGAAACCAGCTGGACACACAGCATTTCGTTTCTTTTAGAATATATGTGATTTACTGGTTGTACGAATAATACATAACACACACACACACACACACACACAGAAAATTGGAGGAAGGGAAGCAGGACCAGTCAGAGAAGAAAGTAAAATCCACCCGCCTCCCCACACTCAGAATGAGCACGGCCTGCGTGCTGTTGCCTGCCCTGCGAGGGTTTTTCTACTGTCGGTGTGGGATGATGGCCGTGCAGGGGTGAGGGAGGAAGAGGGGTGGGCCCTGCAGGGTTGGGGAGGAAGGGGGTGCGCCCTGCAGGGTGAGGGAGGAAGAGGGGTGGGCCTTCCTGGGGCCTGGCTCTCTCCCGTTGTCCCCACAGCCTCTGCCTGGCCTCCAGCTGGGGTCAGCCAGGAGCACTCACCGCACCCGGAGGCTCTGCCTGCAGCTGGCGGAGCTGTGTGCGCAGGTCGCAGATCTGGTCCGTCAGCTCACACACCTGCCGACGGAGGGAGTCCTTCTCCGCCAGGCTCTGGGAAATCTCCCTCTGAGCACTGTCCCTCGCAGAGTACGCCTGTGGGCCAGGATGACCGGGGTGAGGAGGCCACGCCATCCCCACCAGGGAGTCTTGGCTAGAGAGAGCCGTTTCTAGCCTGCACTCATCTGACATGCGCTAAATGGCCTAGGCCGAGCTGTGCAAACTTAGAGTTCATTTCAATTCATGTTCACGTGTGCAGTTTTAATAAAACCCAATATTTGGGGTGCACGTTCTCAGTATCATGTGACAGTGACAAGAGCAGGGAGGACGACAGAGAGAGTGTGTGGACAACAGGCATGGGGGAGTGAAGAAATTTCGTGTGGACTGAGGAAAGAGACCCTGAAATCTGAGACCAGCTGCCATCAGGACAGGGAGCCAAGAGACTGTCCCTGAGCCGGCCCTCACCTGGGGAAGCAAGCTTGGGGTGGCAGGGCGGGCCCGGCCTCTCAGGTACCTGGTCACGTTCCTTTTGCAGCCCGGACACCTGGGTCTGCAGCGCGTTCACCTTCTCCCTGTAGAGCTGGCAGGTCATCTTACTCTTCTGGAACTGCAGCAGGGTCTGCTCCTTCTCTTCCCAGTACTGGACAGAGGGAGACGTGGCCCGTGGAGCTGAGCAGCTCTGAGGGTCTGGGCTGAGGAGGGGGTGGGGGAGCCCAGGGGCAGGAGGGAGGTGGTTCCTGGGATGAAATAGGTGAATTCTCACTTGTCTTTTTTTTTTTGAAACAGAGACTTGCTGAAACATGGTCCAGGTTGGAGTACAATGGCATTATCTCAGCTCACTGCAACCTCCGCTTCCTGGGTTCAAGTGATGCTCATGCCTCAGCCTCCCTAGTAGCTGGGATTACAGGCACATATACCACGCCTGGCTAATTTTTGTATTTTTGGTAGAGACAAGGATTCACCATATTGGCCAGGCTGCTCTAGAACTCCTGACCTCAAGGGATCTGCCTGCCTCGGCCTCCCAAAGTGCTGATACAGGCATGGGCCACCGTGCCCGGCCTTGCTCGTCTCCTAAGTGCTAGATTTCCAGATGCATCTAGAAAGTTGCTTAGGCTGATTATATTTGACTTTCCTCATTAAAACAATGCATGTATGTTGCATGCACAGTTGTGTTTTGCTTTCTTAATGTCCCCAAAAAACAATGTCCCCTGCCTGTGCTCTTCTTTTTCACCATCTCCTCTCCTCCCCGTTCCCTCCTCACCTAAGTCCCTGGCTCTCCCGTGGGGCCCAGGCCCTGCAATCCCCTCGTCTGCCTGACCACGGTCTTAGCTCAGTGTGGTGCTGACAAAGGAACAGGTAAGCGGGCCGACAGATTCCTTCAGCAAAATTCTGTGAGCTGCGTGTGGATGAAGGAATCGGGCTTCCCCACAGACCTGCCCCTGCCCCTGGGACAAGCGCCAGGAGGCTTGCAAGGGAGGAGGGGGCCGCACCACACCTGCTCCCGCTGCCTCTCCGCGGCCACGGCCCTCTCCCGCAGGGAGTGGATGCGCTCCACCAGCTCCTGGCGGCTCCCCCGCGCCTCGTCCAGGCTCTGCTCCAGAATGTCCTTCTCCGCCTGGGGCAGACAGAGGTCAGCTTGGGGTGCTGGCTTCTCCAGAGGCCTGCCCTGGGCAAGCAGAACCCCGAGAATACGACGGCAACCTCACGGCCAGGTGTGTGGATGGATGCAGCCTTACTGCTGTACGTTGGGCAGGAGAAAAGCCACAGAAAAGTCGCCAGTCATGCCTGGGAAAGCTGCACATCCATGGCTGAGGGGACAGGCCGGCTCTCAGGACAACAGTTCTTCCCCTTACCAGCTCAGCCTTCGCCTTCAGCAGGGCTGCGGCATTTCACGGAGAGGTAGAAACCGACAGACAGGTCAGGCCGTTCCCCTCTGACGCTCGCTTCCCAGGAAGGAGCTCACAACAGGGACACAATCCAGGCCCCGTGAATGCTTGTGGAAGGAATATCTCAATAAATACTAATCTATTGAGGGGCCCAGGAGGAGAAGCCGAGCCTGGTCACCTACTCACTGCTCTGCCTCAGAAGCCCTGCCCTCCAGTGCGCGTGAAGGCCAGAGGGCACCCTCCTTCCAGGCAGAAAGGTTTCTTGCCCCGATGCTTAACGTGAATCCCGTGGTTTACCATCGGCCCAGCCCACTCCGGAACACACGGGCAGCCGTAGACCTGCCGAGTGGGGCACTGGGATACACCGCCAGCACTTTTATTTTTATGATTTTTATTTATTTATTTATTTTTGAGACAGAGTTTTGCTTTTGCTGCCCAGGCTGGAGTGCAATGGCACAATCTCGGCTCACTGCAACCTCCGCCTCCCAGGTACAAGCGATTCTCCTGCCTCAGCCTCCCTAGTAGCTGGGATTACAGGCGCAGGCCGCCACCACGCCTGGCTACTTTTTTGTATTTTTAGTAGAGACAGGGTTTCGCAACGTTGGCCAGGCTGGTCTTGAATTCCTGACCTCATGATCTGCCTGCCTTGGCATCCCACAGTGCCGGGATTACAGGCGTGAGCCACCACACCTGCCTTTTGATTTTTATTTTTTTGAGACAGCGTCTCCCTCTGTCACCCAGGCTGGAGGGCAGCAGTGTGATCTCAGCTCACTGCAGCCTGAAATTACCAGGGTCAAACGATCCTCCCACCTCAGCCTCCTGAGTAGCTGGGACCACAGGTGTGTACCACCATGCCAGGTTACTTTTTGTAGAGATGGGGTCTCGCCATGTTGCCCAGGCTGCTCTTGAACTCCTGAGCTTAAGCGATCCACCTATCTTGGCCTCCCAAAGTGCTGGGATTACAGGCCTGAGCCACCATGCCCAGTTCTAGCTTTTAATTCATTCTGCCAACATTTTGGGATCTGGGGAACAGCAGGAAGGCAGGCAGTAAAAAGAAAGTGGGTGAGATGAGTCACTAAATTTCACCTCCCATCCTTAGCCTCCCCTTAATTGAACCACCTGTCAGAAACCCCACAGTCTGGGGATCAAGCACCCAGGGTGGAGGCTGCTCTCTGCTGCGGGGGCCGGAACTTACCAGGCTGAAAGTCAGCGAGCGCAGTTTCTCGTTCTCCTCCTTCAGGCGGTTCAGCTCCTCGTCCCCGGACTCCAGGTCACTGGCCATCCTCAGGGATCGCTCCTGCAATTCCAGCTCGCAGGAGGAAACCATGTTGACTCGCTGCAGCTCCTGCTTCAGTAGGTACAGCTGTGCAGGGAGAAGGTGCCAGGAAGACCGGTGAAAACAGCTTCTCCCCCAGACCAGGAGCCGGGTGGGTTTCTCACCCTTCCTCCTAGTGATGACGCTTTTCACGCTCGGGGGGGGGGGGTGGGGTGCTTTCCGCCCTGAGACTGAAAAACCCATGAAAGGGTTTACCTAATGAATGGTCCCAAATATTCATTTGGGGCTGGGAGGACAGAGGGCTTTCAGCTCTATTTGATAGATGAGGCGCAGTGGCTGAACTACGTCAGGGGTTAGGATCCTAGGAATAGACCAAGGGGCCTTGATAACCAACTCTGGGTCTCCACAGCTGAGCAGCCAGTAGTGACGGCCAGCATGCTCCCTGACTTCCCTGCTCGTCCGTATTCTGCCAATACATCAATAAAGGGAATGTGGATTCATGGAAATCGGTAAGAAGTAAGAGAGAGGAAAGTCAGGTCCGGCAGGGGTAGAGGTGCCTGGGAACATGGGACCGGGGCTATTCGGACAGCAAAGTCCCTGTGCTGATTGGCAATCTGTGTGCAGGGCCCTGGCCTTCCAGAAACTATCCAGCCAGGTCCTGCTGGCCTCCTTCCTCTGGACAACAGCTCAAGAGAAACTTGGAGCTCAAGCAATGGGCCTGGACTCTTCCGGTCCTGGGTGTGGCAGCCCTGGGGAGACGGCTCTTTCCCCGTAAAGCAAGACTGGGAAGTCTGCAGGGCGGGGTGGATGCCGGCACTCACCCCTGGCCTGTAGCCAACAAGAACCTTTCTACCTGGACCTTTCCCTCCAGACGCCGGGTTGGCACATTCTCAGTTCGCAATTACCCAGTCCCTGCAGTGGGCCAGCTGGGCTGGGCCTCTCACAGTCTACACATTCAAAAAGTAAAATTAAGTCCGAACTGGAAGAGAACGGGAAAACGTGGGACTGGAAGTGAACCGGAACAAATAAACCGAATTCTATTTCCAGCAGATGCTATAACCGCAACGAAGAGAGACAGACAGAGACACGGACAGAGAGAGTGAAGCTTCAGTGAGTCACGGACACAGTGTTGGATTACCAGCCCTCAGCCATGAGCAAGGGTGGGTGGTGGGAGGCGAATGACAGACGAATCCGGAACGCGTCCTAGCGTGCCTGTTAATGGCGGTGGTATGGGCAGAGTGATTCTGAAATGACGAGATGTCCTGCAGGCCTGAGGTGCTGGGGATGCCGGGAGCAGGGTTCCCACTGGGGAAGCAGCACACACGTACGGAACGGGACAAGGCAAGAAGCAGCCGTGGGGCGTGGGTTGGAATGAGAGGTACGTGTGAGAACTCATGACTTCTGAAGTATGCACATGTGCTACATGTATACCTGCATGCACATGAGTATTTGTGTGTATGTATATTTCCATACATGTGTGTTTCCTAGCTCTGTCCCCTGAAAGGGGTGAGAAGCAAAGACACCCCAGGAGTGATGGGCACACCTACGCCCAGGTCTTGTTCTCTAAAAGGAGGCAGGAGGCCGGGCATGGTGGCTCACACCTGTAATCCCAACAATGTGGAAGGCTGAGGCGGGCAGATCATGAGCTCAGGAGTTCGAGACCAGCCTGGCCAACATGGAAAAACGCGGTCTCTACTAAAAATACAAAAAATTAGCCAGGGATGGTGATGCGTGCCTGTAATCTCAGCTGCTCGGGAGGCTGGGGCAGGAGAACTGCTTGAACCGGAAGACGGAGGTCGCAGTGAGCTGAGATGGTGCCACTATACTCCAGCTTGGATGGCAGAGTGAGACTTTGTTTCAAAGAAACAAACCAAAAAAATAAAAATAGAAATATAAAAATAAAAGGAAGCAGGGCCCTCAGAGAATGGGCTGAGCCTGGATTTGGGGCAGGCCAGGTACAAGATGATCCTGGAATATCTTGTGAGGTCAGAAGAGAAGTTGGTGCTCCAAAAACAAGGGGCCTGTCTCAGGACACGGAGCTGGTTGAAGGGCTCCATTGGTCACAACTGGGTCAATCTGAGCTCCAAAGTCATTAAGGACATTGATAGGCCAGACCCCTGCAGAGTGGGAACCCACGAACTGCACCAAGAGCAGATTCAGCCATGGGAGAAGGGAAGGCAGAGGCCGCGGGCAGCAGCCAAGTGAGAAACGAGCATGGTTGTCATTCACAGCCGCCAGGCGGCCAGCTCCAGCCAGAGTCGCCACAGCTACGTCCCGGGAACTGTCCGCCAGGAGCAGGCGCTTGCTGATCCGCGCCCGACACCCAAGGTGCTTATCAGTTGCAGGGAAGGAAAGAAACAGCCATTCTACGGTAGAGAATCCGGGTGATTCTACAGCAGAGAAAGCTTGACAAGTGGTGGACGGTGACCTCCCCTGCAAGGGGCGACGGGACCTCGAGAGCCCTTGCGGGAGGCCCTGAGTCGGGCCAGCACCCCCTGGGCAGGGTCCCTGCCAAAGAAACATAACTTCTGTCTGCTGGTGGGGAAACAGAAGACCAACCCCAAATGAGACCCAGTCTATCACCAAAGGGAAGGGGTGGGGTCTTCAAAGAGACCCACCTCGTAATAGGCAAAGAGAGGCTGTGACATGCTCCCGATGGAAGGGGGCGACAGGGAGCAGCAGCGGAACGCAGGGCTGTGAAGGACTCACTGGGACAAATGCTAAAACCGAACACAGGCAGATGGGATCAAAACGTACGAAAAAGACTGAAGCTGAGAACTGCACTGTGGCTATCTAGTAGAATGTGCTTATTTTCAGCAAACAGACACTGAAGGGTGTGGTGGGGGTAAAGGGCCACGCCAGGGTAAAAGTACGAATAATAAAGCAAGGGTAGGTGGGCATGCCTTGCTCTATTTTTCTTTCTTTCTTTCTTTCTTTTTTTGAGACAGAGTCTTGCTCTGTCGCCCATGCTGCAGTGCAGTGGCGCCGTCTCAGCTCACGGCAACCTCCGCCTCCCAGGTTCAGCCTCTCGAGTAGCTGGGACTACAGGTGCGCACCACCACACCTGGCTAATTTTTGCATGTTTAGTAGAGATGGGGTTTCACCATATTGGCTAGGCTGGTCTCGAACTCCTGACCTCGTGATCCACCCACCTTGCCTTCCCAAAGTGCTGGGATTACTGGCGTGAGCCACTGCAACCGGCTTCTTTGTACTAATTTTATTTGTGTTATTTAAAAAATAAGTTGGAAATAATTTCTAAATAAGAAGTAAAAAAAAAAAAACACAAAAAAAAAAAACAAAAAAAACAAAAAAAACAAAAACAAATACCATTATTAAAGGCAGAACACTGGCCAGCACAGCAGCTCATGCCTGTAATCCCAGTACTTTGGGAGGCCAAGGTGGGAGGATCACTTGAGCCCAAGAGTTCGAGACCAGACTGGGCAACATAGTGAGACCCCCAATCCCTAAAAAAAAAACCTTTTTTTTAAAAATTAGCTGGGTGTGGTGGCACAGTCTGTAGTCGCAGCTACTCAGGAGGCTGAGGCAGGTGGATCACTTGAGCCCAGGAGTTTGAGGCTGTGATGAGCTATAACTGCACCACTGTCCTCCAGCCTCGGTCTCAGAGTGAGACACTGCCTCTAAAACATTAAAAATACTACTACTACTAATAAAGGTCACAAGCAAATGCCAACATGACAAGGAGTGCACATGCTCAATATTTTGAGAACCCTTACAAATCGGTCAGATCCTCATCCCCAAAGAAAAATGAGAGAAACACATTGGGTTTCGGAGGCCTAGCTTGATAACCCTCCTGCCCTCCCCAGTGAGTCCAGGACCAGCTGAAAAGGACAAAGGAGGTTGGCAGAGAGCCATATCCTGTGTCACGGCCACAGCCGGGCAGTGGGACGTAGGTGGGTCTACAAATACGGAGCCCGGAGTGTCCAGACCTCCCCAGGAGCAGCAGGATGGGCAGTTCACAGACAAGCCAGCCAGGCCATGGGCAGCTACCGGACAAGGCATGCCTCCCACCAGGTAGGCTACACAGAGGGGCCTGGGCGGCCTCCTGGGGAGGGAAGGATCAGCCCCCCGGGGGTCTCAGCCAAGGCTCTGGGGGCAGAGAAGTGTTAGACAAGGAAGAGGTGAAGGGAGTTCCAGGCAGATGAACCGGCCAGTGCAAAGGCCCGGGGGCAGGCGGACAGCAGCAGGGGCCCGCTGGAGCGCGGGGTGTCCCTACCTCCTCCTGCAGGCTGCGGCAGCGCGAGGCGGCCAGCTCCTTCTCCTGCAGCGCGTTGCTGTAGTGCAGCGACAGGCTGAGCATCTCGTCCTTCAGCCTCAGCACCTCATGGAAGTGGGCGCTGACCTCACGCTTCATGCGGCTGTGGTCAGTCTCCAGCTGGTGCAGGTCCTCGGCCCGGGTCTCGGCAAGGCCCAGGCGCTCCTGCAGCTGCTGGCAATGCCGCAGCAGCACCTCCTTCTGCCCCTTCTCCTGGTTCAGCTCCTCCTGCAGGCTGCCGATGGCCCCAGCCAGGCACTCAGTCAGCTTGGATGTCTCCATGAGACCTGTGGGCAGGTGGGTAGGTGGCAGGTGGGCAGGTGGCAGGTGGGCAGGTGCACAGGTGGGCAGATGGGCCGAGGCACTGCCCCCATTCCCCCATAGGCTTGCCCAGACTCCCCAGCAGGCCCCCAGCTTTAACCTGCTGGTCTCCTTAAAAGCTCCTGGGCCTCCAGCAGACTTGGTCTTTTGGTTGAGTAAACAGCCTGACTCCTGATTTTGGCAGAAGGGTTACCCACTCTGACCTTCCCCATGAGACCCCACTGTTTAGATTTAATGACTCTCTTTGGTAGCTGAGATGCCCTCATTGCTAACTCATCTTCAAGTTATCCCAAGAAAAACCTAAGAAAGACTATGGATTCACATAATAGAACTCTAAAGAACAGAAATACATACTGGGTGGGAGCACAGGGAAATGGTCTATTCTCTACTGTTTTGGGTCATGTGAGTCCTGCTCCTTTGAATACCTTAAATCTTTCTATAGCTCCTCCCAGGAAGCCTAGAACTACTCCATTAAGGAAAAAGGTGAGCAAGTGCCCAGAAGGCTCTGCGGCACTGTACCCTCCGGGGGCTGGCTGTCCTGGCCCCTCCAGCAAAGCTGCAAGGTTAAAGGCAGGCTCCAGGAGACACTCCCTTGCCCTTTGCTTGTCTCTGGAAGGCAGGTTCTCCCTACCGCGCCCCTCGGGGTGTCTCCTGTTGGCGCTGGGTAATTAAGGAACGGCGCTTTAGAGTCCGGGCCCAGGGGTGCCTTATCCTACCCACCCTCAATACAGCAGAGGGGCTCCTCACCGTCAGAGTGCTGGGGCCAGGACAGAGACGGCAGCCGGGAGGAAAGCGGGAGAAGGGCCCCGTGGCAGGTGAGTGGGGCACCTGGGGTTACCAGGAGCCCGAGGTTCCTGGGAAGCACCTGCGATCCGGACAAAGTCGGAGCTCTCACCGCTAAAGTTGCTGAAGTCAACAGCAGGCTGCAGCCCAGTGACCAGGGTGTAGACGTCAGGGTTGTGGAACTTCAGGCTCTCCAGGAAGGCGATGGCCCCATTCTTCCCTCGAGTCTTCAGCAAATCCAGCAAGTGCCCTTGGGAGGCAGAACCGTCTGTCAGCTACCAAGGGGGCTGGGCTCCCGGCTGGCTTCCCCACGGGGGTGGAGCCTGGGGCTGGGGAAACCCCTACACTTCTAAGAATCGGGAGGTAAAAGCGGTGGCTCAAGCCTGTAATCCCAGCACTTTGAGAGGCCGAGACGGGTGGATCACAAGGTCAAGAGATCGAGACCATCCTGGTCAACATGGTGAAACTCCGGCTCTACTAAAAAATCCAAGAAAATTAGCTGGGCATGGTGGCACGTGCCTGTAATCCCAGCTACTCAGGAGGCTGAGGCAGGAGAATTGCCTGAACCTGGGAGGCGGAGGTTGCGGTGAGCCGAGATTGTGCCATTGCACTCCAGCCTGGGTAACAACAGCGAAACTCCGTCTCAAAAAAAAAAAAAAAAAAAAAAAAAAAAAAAAAAAAAAGCAGTTTTCGGGGATCTGCGGGGTGGGATGAGGCCTCACTGCTCCCTTTACCCACATGACCTCAGTCAGGCTTGAGGAGGGCAAAGCTGGCATTTACGGAACAACTCCTGCAACCCAAGTGCTCTGGCACGTGCAGGGTGCGAGGTGAGGACGTGGTCCCTGCTTGCAGCCCCGCCCTGGCAAGCCGGTGGCTGGTGCAGACGCGGAGTCCCACCACAGTGCCGTCAGCCTCGGAGCTGTGCAGAAAGCAGCAGAGCGGCCCCAGGGCTGCAGGGGACAGGTTGCAGGGAGCCTTGGGGCCTTCCACACCCAGGGCCCAGAGACCGTCTCTCAGCTAGAATGACGAGCGTGGACTGATCCCTCCTGTGTTTGGGACTTATATACCAACATGCACTAACATTATCATGTTGACAGCTGCCACACACTGCCTGTTTTCTACGGGCCCAGCTTTGCAGTGAGTATCGTATAAACACTAACTCCTGTGCTTCCTCTAACAACCTCACAGGGTAAAGCCGTTAGCATCCTCATTTTTAAATGAATAAACACGGCTAGTCGGACCATCGGAATGGACCTCAAAGACATCTGCAGTGGTGTGAATGGCGGTTCCCCTTAAAAGGCAGGTCCTCCTGGGGAAGCTATCCAGGTGACGTTGTTTGGGAAGAGGTCTGTGCAGATGTAACTTAATGATCGCAAGCTAAGATCATTCTGGTTATCCCGTGGACCCTAAATGCAACAGTAAGTGTTTTTATAAGAGACAGGACCAGAAGAGACCCCCGAAGACAGAGGCAGACAGTGGAGCCGTGCAGGGTGCAACGAGGAACACCTGGGCCCGCGGGGAGCTGGGAGAGGCGGGAAGAGGGAGCTGTGCTCACCGGCCCGCATGGCACTGTTGGTGAGCTGGGGACTGTGAAGCACTTCCTCCTCGTCCAGCTGGCACAGCACCTTGGCCTGGCGCAGGTAGGGCGTGAGGCGGCTGGGGCAGACGCAGCGCACGATCCTGTGACGGTGGTTCTCCATCATCTCCCACAGCGTCTCCTCGTCCAGCGCCGTGAGCGTGGAGTCCTTGCGGCACAGCTCCCCCATGGCTGGGCTCGGGGAGAACCCTAGGAGGGGCAGCCACGGGGGTGGAATCGTCAGGGAAGCAGGAGCTCCGGAGAGCCGGGGTGACACCATTTTAAAACCAACTCCGTCGAAAAATGAGCAAGGCACACACACACTCTTTGCTGGTCAGAACCCACGGTCCTGAGATGCTTAGGCAGAGGAAGAAGCTGAGTAACGCTTGCAAAGACAAACTCCCACAACGACAAAATGTCCAGACACTCCCACATCACAGGACACGATGTGCTTTTAAGATGATTATACTCATGCTTTGATGTACTTACACCCTGAAACGAAATAGGCAACTTTCTATTTTTTCTTTTGAGACAGGGTCTCTCTCTGTTGCCCAGGCTGGAGTGCCATGGCACCATCACAGCTCTTTCTAAGCCTTGACTGCCCCGGGCTCAAGAGATCCTCCGGCTTCAGCCTCCTGAGTAGCTGGGACTACAAGAATGGGCCACCATGCCCAGCTAATTTTTGCATTTTTTGTAGAGATGGTGTCTTGCTTTGTTGCCCAGGCTGGTTTTGAACGCTGGGCTCAAGTCATCGGCCACCTTGGCCTCCCGAAGTGTTGGGATTACAGGTGCGAGCCACTGCGCCTGGTCAGGGGTAACTTTAAGTCAGCAAAGTACTAAATATTGTTGTGCTGTCTGTCTACCCACGCGTGGACATAACCCAGCTTTTACGCAGACAAGATCCCTACATCAGAAGAGTTTCAAACAACACCGGTGGGTTCCTCCTCTTGCTTTCTGAGGATGCCTTCCTCTGTAACTGGGCGGCTTTCAATAAGCCCTCTCTTCTCACTGCATTCTGCCACTCTCCTTGAATTCTTCCCTGTGAGAGATCCAAGAATTCTCTCTTGGGGTCTAGATCAAGACCCCTTTTTCCAGGTGCAGTCGTTCCTGCCTGTAATCCCAGCGCTTTAGGAGGCCAAGGCGGGTGGATCACATGAGGTCAGGAGACCAGCCTGAGCAATATGGTGAAATCCCACCTCTACGAAAAATACAAAAAAATTAGCCGAGCGTGGTGCCGTGTGCCTGTAGTCCCAGCAACTTGGGAGGGTGAGACAGGGTGAGACAGGAAGAGGCTGCAGTGAGCCGAGATGGTGCCACTGCACTCCAGCCTGGGAGACAGAGTGGGATTCTGTCTCAAAACAAAACAAAAAAAAACCCTTTTACCAGCAACAAAATTAACCAAATGGCTTCCGGGGAAAGGGAGGATTTTCCATTCAAACCCTCTCTCCCCACACGGCTGGTGGAGAAGGAGATGATGAATCTAGCCAAGATGAAGCGTCTACACTCTGCTTCCTGCCCCAGCCCGGTGTCTATGGCTAGCAGGATGGGAGGTGGAGGGGGATCTTCATCTTAAGGGTGTCAGAGCAATTCCTCTCCCTGGAGCAGGGCAAGAAGAAACGGGCTTCATCTGGTTTTGGCAGACTCATTTGCAATTTGCCTTTACAACACAGGAAGCTGCTCCTGGCTTGGGGAATTGATTTACCCAATGAAGGTGACATTAAAAAACAGATCACTGGCCAGGCATGGTGGCTCATGCCTATAATCCCAGCAATTTGGGAGGCAGAGGTGAGTGGATCATGTGAGGTCAGGAGTTCGAGACCAGCCTGATCAATATGGTAAAACCCTGTCTCTATTGAAAATACAAAAATCAGCCAGGCATGGTGGTGTGCGACTGTAGTCCCAGCTACTTGAGAGGCTGAGACAGGAGAATTGCCTGAGCCCAGGAGGTGGAGGTTGCAATGAGCTGAGATCACACCACTGCACTCCAGCCTGGGCGACAGAGCGAGACTCTGTCTCAAAAAAACAAACAAACAAAAACCAGACCACTTCTCTCATGCGTCTAGAACCTACATTCTCGGCAGGGGTGAAACAGCCTCCACGGGGTGAAAATTCTTGCTCTTCTATGTATAAAGCACTGACAGATGGTATGTCTATGATATTAATATTTCATGAGCGGGCAATTAGGGAAAAGGTGTCTAAAAAGCTCCTCAGGGGGTAATGATGAATAAAAGGTTGAGAAACTGCTCTAAGATAAACCCAAGGGTTTGGACACTAGGTCCAACAACCCAGCAGCCAGAGGCAGTGCCCACGGTCTACTTGGGAACCAGGAAACAGGCAGGTGGGAATTAGGGTCAGGGAGCAGTTTTGCAACAACGATGTCTGCGGGCAAAGGACGCTGCTCTTCCTTGCTGTGGTGGACACCTGCTATTTTTTAGCATGGAGGTAATGCCCCTGGTGGACCCTGCTTTCTGGTCAGAAGCCAAAGTGGGCTGACATTCTCCGTCCTTTCTGGTGGCTGTCATGCCCAGGCAAGAGCACCTCCCCAGGACTCTGAGTCTGGGCTGCAGCAGCAGGGGAAGGGGCACAGGGCCGCTATGCAGAGGAGGCAAGGCACAGAATGGACGCTTAGTACACAAATGGTTCGGGGAAGTGGTCCTCAGTTTGCAAACTGATCTGGAAGCCCGAAAGAACTCCTGTCCACTCTATAGGACACCCCTTGCTTCGGCGGTGTTGGAATGCCCTTGACAGTCTTTGCCATTCTGGTTTCTCCCTCTGTGTAAGATTGAGCGCCCATGGCCCCATCTGCTCTACCCGACCCTAAACAATTAAGTCACTAATTCATACCTTGTGTCAGTTACAGCTTCTCCTAAAAAACTGAAGTAAATACTTTTTTTTTTAGAAATTTCATCTAAAATAATTTTAGTAGACTAGGTGTAGTGGCTCACACCTGTAACCCCAGCACTTTGGGAGGCCGAGAGGGAAGGACTACTTGAGCGTAGGAGTTTGGGACCAGCCCGGCTAACAGGATGAAACCCTGTCTCTACTACAAATGCAAACATTAGCCAGAAATCCCAGTTATTCAGGAAGCCGAGCAAGAGGATCCCTTGAGCCCGGGAGGCAGAGGTCGCGGTGAGCCGAGACTATGCCACTGCACTCCAGCCCGGGTGACAGAGGGGGACTCTGTCCCAACAAACAAACAAATAAATAATAGTAGGGGTGCTGCACTTTGGAAATACTCCTTTATATGTTCTTCATGAAAAGTAATTTTCTTGTTTTTTGTTTTTTTATTTTTAAAAATCATTTATTTATTTATTTATTTATCTTTAAAGACAGGGTTTCACCATGTTAGTCAGGCTGGTCTTGAACTCCCGACCTCAGGTGATCCACCCGCCTTGGCCTCCAAAGTGCTTGGATTACAGGCGTGAGCCACCGCGCCTGGCCAAAAGGTAACTTTCATTAGAAGCAAGACTGTCGGCTTCTCTAGAGCCAAGATCATGCTACTGCACATCGGCCTGAATGACAGAGGAATACTCTGTCTAAAAAAGAAGAAAAAGGACCAGGTATGGTGGTTCACGTCTGTAATCGCAGCATTTTGGGAGGCTGGGGTGGGCGGATGACGAGATCAGGAGCTCGAGACGAGTCTGGCCAGCATGGTGAAACCCCGTCTCTACTAAAAATACAAAAATTAGCCAGGTGTGGCGGTGCTTACCTGTAATCCCAGCTACTTGGGAAGTTGAGGCAGGAGAATTCCTTAAACCTGGCAGGTGGAGGTTGCAGTGAGCCACTGCATTCCAGCCTGGGCAACAGAGCGAGACTCTGTCTCAAAAAAAAAAAAAAAAAAAAATCCCCATTGTTTTCAGCTGGCCAGCAGGTGGTCCCTTGTTTGCAGCCGCCCTGGACACTGATACAGAGGACTCTATAGAGGACCCCACGTGAGGGAAATGTGCTGGGGAATGACCCTGGGTGCAAGCACCTTGCAGAAGACACTGAAGGGTAGTAACGGCCAGCATGGCTTGGCTGGGGGTATGTGGGGTTACAAAGGTCCCCGAAAGGACTGAGCTACAGCTGACCTGGGGCCGCCACCAGGGCTGATGTCCCAAGCCCAGGCCTGTCTGGACAGAGCACATGAAGCGCGTCACAACTCGAGCCTGAACGCCTGCTCTTCAGGGGACATACTGGCCAGTGCAGACTCTAAGAGCTATTGGAGGTCCTCAGGGTCACCTGCCCAGCCTCCCGTCCCAGAACACGCCCGGGCACCCTAGCTTTGGAGGTGAGCTGTGTCCCCCGCCGGGCCCCTGCCTGAGCCCTTCTCCCTTCCTGGCATCAACACAAAGTCATTAGCCCACGAATCCATCTAAATCATTTAAAAATGTTTTAAAACTGTGCACTGTTTCCAGCATAGAAAGAAGTACTGCAAATGATGTAGCAAACATCAACATACCCACTGTGCGAACTCAACCATCTTGACATTTTGGACTTCAGGTTTGTTTTTAAGGAAAGGACAGCAGATGGCACCTCTTGGTTCTCTTCAGTCCCTTTTCCCTCCCTCTCAGGCCAGGTATTTTAAAAATAATTTTAAAATGTTTTTTTTTTTTTTGAGGCAGGGTCTTGCTCTGTTGCCCAGGCTGGAGTGCAGGGGCGTGATCATGGCTCATTGCAGCTTTGAGCTCCCAGGCCCAAGCAATCCTCTCACCTCAGCCTCTCAAGTAACTGAGACCGCAGGCGTGTGCCACCATGCCTGGCTTATTTTCAAATTTTTGTAGAGATGGAATTTCCCTCCGTTGCCCAGGCTGGTCTCGAACTCCTGGGCTGCCGTGATCTGTCTACCTTAGCCTCTGAAAGTGCTGGGATTGCAGCCCAGCCTAAAAATGATAGTTTAAAAATCATTTCCTACAAATGGAAGTGTGTATAAACAGTTTGTAGTATTTTCGCATGATACTTCATGCAGACATCACCTTTACATCAACAGTACTGTCAGCGCTAACTGGAACTTCACAGAAACTGCATCATTCTGCGCAAGGCAGTGCTGAGTCTGCGGTTTTTCTTTCTTTCTTTTTTTTTTTTGAGACGGAGTTTCACTCTTTGTTACCCAGGCTGGAGTGCAATGGCTCACCGCAACCTCCGCCTCCTGGGTTCAGGCAATTCTCCTGCCTCAGCCTCCTGACTAGCTGGGATGACAGGCACGCGCCACCATGCCCAGCTCATGTTTTGTATTTTTAGTAGAGACGGGGTTTCACCATGTTGACCAGGATGGTCTCGATCTCTCGGCCTCGTGATCCACCCGCCTCGGCCTCCCAAAGTGCTGGGATTACAGGCTTGAGCCACCGCGCCCGGCCTGGTTTTTCATACTGATACATGCAGCTCCTTGAACCTGCTCACTGGATCCAATGACATGAATAACCACAGTGGACTTCTCACGCTCCTGTGGGAGGACATTCGGTTGTGCTGTATTTTTCTCCACTGCTCACAGAGCTGCAGCCACCGCCTTCGTGAATTTCTAGGGCACAGGTGGGGTCGTTTCCTCACAGCCCCCTGAATTCCTGTCACTTCATTCTTTTCATTTGGAATGAGAGGCTGGACCACTGGAGAAGGTACCTCTTGGAGGGGTCTGTATGCTAAAAATACTTGAAAGCCAGAGCACATCAACATCTGTCATCTAAAAAATGGAAAATAAGCCCGCCGTGGTGGCTCACACCTGTAATCCCAGCACTCGGGGGGGCTGACACAGGTGGATTACCCAAGATCAGGAGTTTGAGACCAGCCTGACCAACAAACATGAAGAAGCCCTGTCTCTACCGAAAATACAAAAATTAGCCAGGTGTGGTGGCAGGTGCCTGTAATCCCAGCTACTTGAGAAGCTGAGGCAGGAGAATTTCTTGAACCCAGGAGGCAGAGGTTGCAGTAAGCTGAGATCGTGTCATTGCACTCCAGCCTGGGTGACAGAGCAAGACTCCGTCTCAAAAATAAAAAAAAAAAAAATTAAAAAATTTTTTTAATTTAAAAAACAATAAAAAATAGAAAGTGATGGTTGGGAGAGTCCTGGGTGCAGTAGCTGCGCCACAAGTCATCCAAGGAGCCAGGTCCCTGAGAGTACTCACCGCGGGGCTCAGACTCGCTTTCACGGAGCTCTGTGCAGCGGGGTGGGGTCTGCTGTGCCTGTGGCGTCTCCAAGGCCCAGCGCGGTGGCGGCTGCAGCTGCCTCGTTTCTCTTCCCGTTTCTCTGCGTGCTGCTGGGTGGGAGGGAGCTGGACAGAAGGAAGAGCCTGAAGCCAAAGCAGTGCCAGGTGAATTGACGGTGATTTCAAGCTACGTGACCTGCTCCAAAACTCAAAGTTCACCCACAACACCTGCAAGCGGCTGGGAAGAGAAGTCAAACTCAGATCCGGGAAAGAACTCGACAGACCTTTGACCCCTGTGGTTTTCCCAGTAACTACAGATGCTTTCTTAGCACTAGAAGCAGACGTCTGGAATGGACCTGGGCTTTGAACCCTAGACTACCAAGGAGAGCTGACAGGCGTAGTGGTTATCCAAAGCGTCCAGGGGCGCTCAGGGGCTCCCCACAGAGCCAGGCCACTCACAGCCTTCTGCCAAGTCTCCTTGCCCGGAAGGAAGAACAGCAGCGGCCGGGAGGGCAGCGCTGCCTCCTCCTTCTCATCTCAGCCTGTTTCTCACTGGGAACAAGCAGGTGATTGAGGCTTGTGAGTCAGGGTGTCACTGACTGTGGCCCCCGCAAAAGAATGCTGACGTCTTGATCCCCAGTACCTGTGAATAGGGCCTCATCTGGGAATAGGTCTCTGCCAATGTGATCAAGTTGAAGTCATTAGGGTGGACCCTAATCCAGGGAAGGGCGCCCTTGTACCAAGAGAAGGGCGGGGTGCGGTGGCTTGCACCTATAATTCCAGCACTTTGAAAGGTGGAGGCGGGCAGACTGCCTGAGCTCAGGAGTTTGAGACCAGCCTGGGCAACACGGTGACACTTTGTCTCTGCTAAAAAGTTGTTTGTTTGTTTGTTTGTTTGTCTTGAGATGGAGTCTTGCTCTTATTGCCCAGGCTGGAGTGCAATGGTGGGATCTCCGCTCACTGTAACCTCTGCCTCCCAGGTTCGAGCGAGTCTCCTGCCTCAGCCCCCGGAGTCTTTGGGATCACAGGTGCGCACCACCATGCTGCCCGGCTGACTTTTGTATTTTTAGCAGAGACACGGTTTCACCATGTTGGCCAGGCTGTGTTGTTTTTGTTTTGATTAGTCAGGTGTGGCGGGTACACCGGTAGTCGCAGCTACTCAGGAGGCTGAGGTGGGAGGATGGCTTGAACCTGGGAGCCAGAGGTTGCAGAGCTGAGACAGGGCACTCCAGCCTGGACGACGGAGCAAGACCCTGTCTCAAAAAAAAAAAAAAAAAAAAAAAAAAAAAAAAAAGCAGCAGCAGGAGAAGGGCCCCAGACACTCCATGATCACCCTGTGCTGGTGGAGGGAGAGACGGCATGACAGGGGTGAGCAGCGACACTAGAAACTCGGCAAAGGCATGAAGCAGGCCCTCCCTGAGCCTTCACAGAGGCTGTGGCCCTGCACACCCCGGAGTGTGGACTCCTGGCCTCCAGAACCGTGAGCAAGTACATTTCTGCTGGTTCAGGCCACTCAGCGTGTGGTCATTTATGATGGCAGCCAGAGGAAAGTGTGCAGAGCAAGGGGATGTGGAAATTGCCCACCCATCTCCTGAATATCTGGGACTACAGGTGCATGCCACCACGCCAGGCTCATTACTATTATTATTATTATTATTATTATTATTTTGGTAGAGATAGGGTCTCGCTATATTGCCTGGGTTGGTGTCAAACTCCTAGGTTCAAGCGATCCTCCCACCTCAGCCTCCAAAAGTGCTAGGATTACAGGTGTGAACCACTGTGCTGGCCATGAGTTATACCTCAGCCAGGTAGTTAAAAAAAATTAAAAAAATAAAAAATCCAGGCTTGGTGCAGTGACTCACATCTGTAACTTGGAAGACCGAGGTAGGAGGATCCCATCTCTAAAAAAAAAAAAGATCGCGGCCGGGCGCGGTGGCTCACGCCTGTAATCCCAGCACTTTGGGAGGCCGAGGCGGGTGGATCACGAGGTCGAGAGATCGAGACCATCCTGGTCAACATGGTGAAACCCCGTCTCTACTAAAAATACAAAACATTAGCTGGGCGTGGTGGCGCGTGCCTATAATCCCAGCTACTCAGGAGGCTGAGGCAGGAGAATTGCCTGAACCCAGGAGGCGGAGGTTGCGGTGAGCCGAGGTCGCGCCGTTGCATTCCAGCCTGGGTAACAAGAGGGAAACTCCGTCTCATAAAAAAAAAAAAGATCTCAGGGCTGCTGGTGACCGCACCCTGCTTCCTGCTTCCCTCTGTGGTCCCACTCCCTGCCAGGAAGCAGGAGGGTGGGCTGAGGTGGTCCCTGCAGTGACTAGTTCTGCCCCTGCCACCCCAGGGCCAGGGCTGGCAGGCCACAGTGCATGGGACACTGGCATCCTCTTTCCTTTCTCCTCACTTTCAGCCTAGGCTGGGCCCCCTTCCCAGCTCCCCCCGGGCCCGGCCCCCACCACAAGTGTGTTCCTCTCCTGCCAGCTGCTGTTCTCTGCCAGGTGGCGTCGAGCAGGAATTGTGCTCCAGGCATTCCCAGGCCAGCCTCCCCCTTTCCACCCCCCTGGCTTCCTCATTCCAGAATTTCTGTTCACCTCAGCTGACCCTGTGACCCTCTAGGAATGTCTCTGGCTCCTGCAGAGGCATCTGGGGTTCCCCTCACCCCTTCTTAGATATAACAACCACGTGGGCGCAGCTGCCCCATCACATCAAGCCCAAAGTCTGTGGGTCAAACCAACCCAGGATCACTGCAGCCTCCTGTGCCTCCTCCCTCCACAGCTCCTGGCGAAATGAACCACATGTTGCTTTTTTAAAAGTTAAAAAAAAAAAAAAAAAAAGTGAATAAAACAGCAATCACATGAGGAAAGAAAAACAACTTTTCTGCCACAAACTGAAAAATGGCAGGCCGGGCACAGTGCCTCACTCCTATAATTCCCAGCACTTTGGGAGACTGAGGCAGGCAGACTGCTTGAGTCCAGGAGTTCGAGACCAGTCTGGGCAACATGGCAAAACACTGTCTCTACAAGAAATACAAAAATTAGCCGGGCATAGTGGCGTGAGCCTGGGTCCCAAGCTACTTGGGAGGCTGAGGTGGGAGGATCACTTGAGCCCAAGAGGCAGAGGTTGCAGTGAAATGAAATTGCATCATTGCACTCCAGCCTGCTGGGTGACAGAGTGAGACCCTCTCTCAAAAAAATAAAAATAAAAATAAAAAGAGGTAAAAAGGGAACAATGGCAGACAAGCCCTAAAACCAAAGGAGTGGTGCCAAGGGCCACTGAAGGCACAGGTGCCAGCACAACCCTTAGGGACAGACCGCAGGAAGAGGGGGCCTGACCATCCCTCTACTGTTTGGGCAGCTGAAGAGAAACAAGCCTACGGAAGTCAGGGAAAATGCCCCAAAGCGCCCTCCAACTTCATTGGGACTCCTCAGCAGGGGTGGGGAGGGGCTGGGCTGAGCCGGGACAGAGCCCAGGCCCAGCTGTCCTGCTCACTGCAGGCTGACCACTGGATTTCTTTAGTCGCACATCTGGGATGAAACTACAGTGGGAACAGAGACTTCCAGACAAATAAGAAGATTCTTCACCCTAAGAAATAATGCAAGCAGTAGAAATTGGGGCAGGGGGAAGGGGGAGGGAAGGTATCACTTTATCCTGCATGACCCTGTGCTATCTAAAATAAAAGTAGGCCAGGTGAGATGGCTCATGCCTGTAATCCCAGCACTTTGGGAGGCCGAGGCAAGTGAATCACCTGAGGTCAGGAGTTTGAGACCAGCCTGGCCAACATGGCAAAACCCTGTCTTTATTAAAAATACAAAATTAGCCAGACGTGGTGGTGCATGCCTGTAATCCCAACTACTTGGGAGGCTGAGGTAGGAGAATCACTTGAACCCAGGAGGCAGAGGTTGCAGTGACTGGAGATCACGCCACTGCACTCCAGCCAGGGAGACAGAGTGAGACTCCATCTCAAATAAATACATAAGTATGTGAATAAATAAAATGCTGATTTTATTTTTATTTTCTGTTTTGTGGAGAACAGCATCTCCCTATGTTGGCCAGGCTGGTTTCAAACTCCTGGACTCAAGCGCTCCTCTCACCTCTGTCCACCTGAGTGCAGTAACTACAGGTGTGAGTGGTCAAATCCAGCACACGTTGATTTTATATAACATCACTAATTTATCAAGGATTTTGTAATCTCTTACCTGAATCTCGGGGGTTTTTAGGAACGAATACTCTTGTCATTGTGAGACTGTTCTACTACATTCAGCATTCCTTTACTAACAATTAAAAAAATATTTTTTGTCGAAATCTTGATGCACTGCCTATAGTTAGCCCAGCTCCTCAAGGAGTAGTAGGTAAAAAATAAAAATAACAACAACAAAAAAAACTTTTGACAGCAACATCTGAGCTGAACTAAACTATAAGTCAAATTAAAAGTTTGCATTTAAAGCATGTAAACTATGATCTCATTTTTTTTTTTTTTTTTTTTGAGACGGAGTTTCACTCTTGTTACCCAGGCTGGAGTGCAACGGCATGATCTCGGCTCACCGCAACCTCCACCTCCTGGGTTCAGGCAATTCTCCTGCCTCAGCCTCCTGAGCATCTGGGATTACAGGCACGCGCCACCATGCCCAGCTAATTTTTTAATTTTTAGTAGAGACAGGGTTTCACCATGTTGACCAGGATGGTCTCGATCTCTCCACCTCATGATCCACCTGCCTCAGCCTCCCAAAGTGCTGGGATTACAGGCGTGAGCCACCGCACCCGGCCGATCCCATTTTTATAGAACAATGTTAGTATATCTTTGGGAGTCCCTCAATCCATGTGCCTACCCATCCATTCATTCAATCCACACATCGGTCTGTCTTGTCACTACACACGTGTGTGTGTGTGTGTGTGTGTGTGTGTGTGTGTGTGTGTGTCTGCCTGCACATGAGAGAGAGAAAAAGGGCGGGGGAGAGAGGGAGAAGCAGAGAGCAGGGGGATTCTGGAACACTCCGCACCAGTGCTGACGCTTGTTATTCATGGTGGTAGATTGTTAAGAAATCTGTCTAGCCTGGGCACAGTGGCTCACGCCTGCAATCCCAGCACTTTCAGAGGCCAAGGCAGGCAGATCACTGGAGATCAGAGTTCGAGACCAGCCTGAACAAAATGGTGAAACCCCATTACTACTAAAAATACAAAAATGAGCCAGTTACGGTGGCACTCCCCTGCAGATTCAGCTACTCAGGAGGCTGAGGCAGGAGAATGGTTTGAACCTAGGAAGTGGAGGTTGCGGTGAGCCGAGATTGCTCCACTGCACTCCAGTCTAGGAGACACAGTAAGACTCCATCTCAAAAAAAAAGAAAAGAAATCTATTTAGAATAAGCAAGTATGGGTTCAATAAAAACCATAAAGTCATTATTTTAGAAAACAATAAAATTGTCAGGCGCGGTGGCTCACGCCTGTAATCCCAGCACTTTGGGAGGCTGATGTGGGCGGATCACGAGGTCAGGAGATTAAGACCAGCCTGGCCAACATGGTGAAACCCCATCTCTACTAAAAAACTGCAAAAATTGGCCAGGTGTGATGGTGCATGCTTGTAATCCCAGCTACTCGGAAGGCTGAGGCAGGAGAATTGCTTGAACCCAGGAGGCGGAGGTTGTGGGGAGCCGAGATCGCATCACTGCACTCCAGCTTAGGTGACAGAGTGAGACTCCATTTCCAGAAAAAGAAAAAGAAAGAAAAGAAAACAATGAAATTAATCCAACTGATCAAACATAGAAGGAAATGGGCCTCATCTTAAAAGTGTTAGTCAAAGAATGCTGGGGTCCCAGACTGTCGGGGACAGTCCTGTGCGCCTCTTGTCCTAATCAATGGTGCTGCCTTTCTCTATCAGTACGGACTTGTTTAGGGGCCCACCATCGCAGGGAGGGAGGCGAAGGCATGCTGAGTCGAGCTCCCCCAGCTGCAGTGGGGACACCGGCAGAAAAGTCTCCTCTCCTGCTCCCCTCAGCCCGATGAACGTAGCACAAGGAGAGGGTGGGAGCCCAGGGGATGACAGGCACTGGCTGAAGCGGGGAAAATGGAAGACTTGGCTGGTCCAGGCTGCATCAGTCAGGAAGGTAACTGTTTCTCATCCTCAGGGCAGGACTTCTCAGCTTTCCACTTAGTGAAGGAGAGTGGAGCATCTTCCTAAAACCTCTGTATTTGCCCCCAAAACTCTCATGAAACATCTGCTTCAATAGGCATTGATCCTGAGCCTAGAGGTTCCAAAGCAGATGGAAAATACAGGTGTCCCTAAATGGTGGCATCCAAGGCCTTTCTTTGTGGTCAGTGGCCCTGTGATGAAGTGGGTGCCAAAGAGCCAATTACCCCAAAACTAGGGCTCATGGAAGTATAATGTTTGTTCTAACAAATGGCACCCTGGCACGCTCTCCGGTATTTTAGTATATCGAGTTGCCAAGAGGCCACATCTCCAGCTTGCAGCTGAAACTCTGGGAGTTCCAGATGGCCAGGTCTCTGAGGATATCCTGAGGACCAGGACTGGTGGCTGGCCCAGGACTACAGGTGCCTCGGCTGCCTTCCCAGGGTTGGGTCCAGGTGGCAACAGCTACCTCTGAGAGGGTCCTCTAGTGGGACTTCCCCTGCACCCTGGACGTGCCCGAGCCTCCCAGGACTCCTTTGGAAGGTCTGAGGTGCTGCGTCCTCCCATCAGAGTGAACTCAGAAAGCCAGGGCAGCTCAAGCCAAGGCTGCTTCACCAGCCCGAGGACAGAGGCTCTGCAGGACTCTCCAGACCCTGGCCACCTGACCCAGCCAGCTGTCCCTCAGGCTCCGGAGCCCCCCAGAGCCTCACTGGGCTTTGAGCATCAGTGGGTGGAGCTAAGTAGAAGTCACTAGTCCCTTCTGCAGTTGCAGTGAAGCAACTTACAGTAGACCCGAATGGCAGTTAGCAACTGTAGGAGTTTCTTTATAACTTGTCCCATTGTAAATAGGGATTAGTCCTAACAGGGGAAAGAAAACCCCTTTGGGCTGGGCACGGTGGCTCAAGCCTGTAATCCGGCACTTTGGGAGTCCAAGGCAGGAGGATTGCTTGAGCTGAAGAGTTGGAGGCTGCAATGAGCTATGATTGTGCCACTGCCCTCCAGCCTGGGTGACAGAGCAAGACCCTGTCTCAAAAAAAAAAAAAAAAAAGAAAAAAAAAAAAGAAAAGAAAAGAAAAAGAAAGAAAGAAAAGACGCCAGGCGCTGTGGCTCATGCCTTTCAGGTGAGATGGCTCATGCCTATAATCCCTGCACTTTGGGATACCAAGTTGGGCAGATCACCAGGAGTTTGAGACCAGCCTGGCCAACAAGGCAAAACCCTGGCTTTACTAAAAATTTAAAAAGTCAGGATGCACCTGTAGTCCCAGCTACTCGGGAGACTGAGGTAGGAGAATCACTTGAACCTGGGAGGCAGAGGTTGCAGTGAGCCGAGATTGCGCCACTGCACTCCAGCCTGGGTGACAGAGCGAGACTTCTTCTGAAGGGGAAGGGAAAGGGGAACGGGAGCCTAGATATCTCTAATTCTAAATTCCATATCTAACTGTACAGCAATTCTAGAAGAGTCTAATAAGATCATACAATCTCCAGCATCTAAGATACGGGTTCTCTTTATTTGACCTCTCCCAGGTCAACGACCTCCTCCTAACTCAAGGGTCAGTCTCTTCCCTTGCCAGGGATGTATGGAAGTATGGAAGAAGGCACATGTACACACACACACACACACACACACACACACACACACGTACACACCCCATGGGGGGGCGGATGGTCACAAGAGCAGGAGGAGGGGACACAGCTCACCCCAGCCCCCCAATGCCATGACAGACTGGCTGTGCCCCTGCTACCAACAGCAGGCAGCTGGTCTTGCCCACTTTGTTCTGAACTTAGACACCTTCTTCCCTGTCCTCGATCCTGCGGCAAGAGTGAGGAGATCAGAGTACAGAACAGAGGATCCCTTTCATCCAGCACGACCGGCGCGGTTTTAAGGCAGGACTCAGCAGTCAGAGAATGTTCCAGTGATTGACCCAGCAACACAGACAAGCCGTTTTCTGCTTTCTAGTCCACACACCAAGCAGCACCTCCACTCCTGAAGAGAAAGAAGCCCCCCCCCCCGCCACTCCCAGGCCCCAGCAAACCTGTGTCGCCGGAGCCCCGGTAGGCTGACCTGCTCTCTGCTGGATGGAGTGCGTGTGCTTGCCTTCCCGTCCCAGGGAAGTGATGACTGAATGTGGCCCAGTATCTGGCTGAACTGAATGGCAGCGGACGAGCGGGTTTGACAGGCACATCCCACAGAAGCAGTGCCTTATATGGGGCTCCTGTGAGCCGCCGAAGCACCAGTACATTCCAGCAGCTGGGCATTGATGTAAGAACCACAGGGACGGCCGAGAACAGTCCATGCATCTGGTCGACCCACAGAAGGCAGTGACTGAGGGGAGGGCTTCAGGGTCGGGGGCGGGGGACTCCCCTCTCCTTTGTGAACGGTCACCAGTTCTTCATCATTTCTACCCTTGGGAAAATCCTAGGAAGATTAGGATGAATTCTAAGGCCCTTCTTGGTTCTCATGATCAATTATGGGAAGTATCTAAATAATCCCAAGGATCCATCTCCAGTCAACATTTCGTAACTATCGTTTAGATTTAGATGACAGTCTTGGTCCTCCACATTGAGACGTGTCTAGAATCGGACTGATTCTCACCCCCGCGTGGCGATGCCCTCGTCACGGCCCAGTGGGACCTCTGCAGCGGCCCCTAACTACTTCCCATGGCCCGTCACCAGCGCTCAACACAGCAGACAGAGAAGTCCTGCTCAAGCATGAGTCCGGTCACATCATTCCCTTTGGGGTATAGGTCCTGGAGTCCTCAGTGTGACTACAAGGCTCTGCTTATCAAGTCCTTGCTGACCTTTTCTCTTTCACCTACTCCAGACACACAGCCGGAAAGCCTTCACTGTTCAGGCACACGTCTGCCCCCGGGCCTTTGCACCTGCTGTTCCTGCTGCCCGGAACACTCTTTCCCTCCTCTCCTTCCACTCAAATGCTACTTCCCAGATCAACACACTTAAGTCTGTAGACCTCGCATCCAGGCCTTCCCTCCCATTCCCTGTTCCATCTTCCCTGTGGGAATACTGCCTTGACCTAGTGTGTATTCTAGTTATGAGGCTTCCTGCCAGCCTCCCCACTCCTCAGTAACCTACCTAGGACAATAATTCTTGTCTTTCTTGTTCCCTTTCTTGTTCCCCACCCCCAGGGCCATGATGTTCCATAAATATTGGTTGAGTGAATAAATAAACATTGGTTGGGTGCTTGGTTCCCAATGATGCAGTCACTGAAAGAAGGGAAATTCACAGCTCCATGGCCTGAGAACCTTCAGGATTATCCTGCTGATGGCAAAGGTCAGCTTTCAAGGTCATGTATCTCATGGTGACTCGGCAACAACTCCAACCCAAATCTCCTGGTGATGAGGTGGCTGAGGGCACAGTCAGTTGGGCAGAGCAAGTGAGAACACAGTCCGAGGCTGGACGCAGACATGAACTCTCCAACCAGGATTACAGCCTCACGGGGTGTCAGCTTTCCCTCGGGGAGGTTGCTTCAGCCCCTAAGGCTCAGCTCTCTTCGTTTCCTCCAGCAGGCCTCGTGATGAACCCTGCCCCATGGTGGGAAAGCTCGCCAACTCATCACACTATGCCGGCCACAGAGAAAGAGCTAGTTAGTTACAGAATATGCAAAGAAATGCCGCCATTCCCAGGAAAAGAGGGAGCCAGAAGAGTGCACTGGAGATGAGAGGAGCCTCAGTCAGAACAGAAACAGCCATAGGACTAGTCAAGGTGCAGCTATAAAAAGGAATGAAGAGCCTTTACAGAGGCATGGATGAAGCTGGAAGCCATCTTTCTCAGCAAACTAACACGGGAGCAGAAAACCAAACACCACATGTTCTCACTCCTAAGCGGGAGCTGAACAATGGGAACACATCGACACAGAGAGGGGAACAACGCATTGGGGCCCATGGTGGGGGCAGGAGAGGGAGAGCACCAGGACAAACAGCTCAGGCCCATGGGGCTTAAAACCCGGGTGATGGGTTGATAGGTGCGGCAAACCACCATGACATACGTTTACTTACATAACAAACCTGCACGTTCTACACATGTATCCCGGAACGTAAAACAAAATAAAAGAAACAGTCAAGGAAGCCATAACCCCGAAGGACCCTGTGTTTTCTGAGGGCAAAAACCTGTTATCTTAGGCTGGGTGCAGTGGCTCACGCCTGTAATCCCAATGCATTGAGAGGCCGAGGAAGGAGGACTGCTTAAGGCCAGGAGTTTGAGACCAGCCTGGGCAACATAGGGAGACCCTATCTCTACAAAAAATAATTTAAAAAAAATAGCCAGGTGTGGTGCAACATGCCTGTGGTCCCAGCTACTGGGGAGGTTGAGGTGGGAGGATCGCTTGAGCCCAGGAGGTAGATGCTGCAGGGGTCTGTGGTTGCACCACTGCACTCCAGCCTGGGCAACAGAGGGAGACACTGTCTCAAACAAAACAAAACAAAACAAAACAAAAACCCCTACCTTAGTCACTACGTCGTCTTCAGGACGACCCCACTGATGGTCACCTGTATCACACAGGATTGCAGCTGTGTTCACATGTCCAGGGCCAGTCAGGCAGCATCTCTAGTAATCTGGCCAGGTTAGGTTAGGGTATCCCTGGAAACACTCGGAAGGTGGGCCTGGGGGACAGGGGCCAGCAGGCACCAGGACAACACCACCCAGGGGCTCCATGCCCCGTGGCAGTGATCAATAAAGAAATGGACATATGCCAGACCTGAGCCAGCCATAGAGCTCCTCTGGACACTTTTTTTGGAGACAGAGCCTCACTCTGTCACCCAGGCTGGAATACAGTGGCTTGACCTCAGCTCACTGCAGCCTCCACCTCCCAGGTTCAAGCGATTCTCCTGCCTTAGTCTCCCATGCAGCTGGGATTATAGGTGCCATCGTGTCCGTATAATTTTTATATTTTTAGTAGAGACAGGGGTTTCACTATGTTGGTCAGGCTGGTCTTGAACTCTTAGTCTCAAGTGATCCCCCCGCCTCAGCCTCCCAAAGTGCTGGGATTACAGGTGTGAGCCACCATGTCCAGCCTCCTGTGGGTGCTTTATTAATCCATATAATTTAGGGAGTTGGGGAAAGGCTTTGCCTTGAAATCATCATGTTGGCACCAGAAGATGGAGCCATAAGGCCCTACAAGAATAAAAACCAGACCCTAAAAAGAAAACTCCCAAGATCAGGAGTTTCGGTTGACTGAGGAACGACCTCGACCTGACTCCCCTGCCATGAGGAGACGTAAATCAGGGGTCACAGTGTCATAAGCAGGGAGTGTGTGTGTCTTTACTCTTGTGCCTAGGGGCTGGGAGGATTCCAGGTTCTTCTTCCAAGACATTCTAAACATCCTAGCTGGAGACCAGAGTAGGCGTCTCAGGCTGGGTGGCTCTGCAGTGTGGCTGGCTGTGGATGAGGCTGAGTGACAGCAGAGACCTCACACCCACCTCCGGGCCACACCAGCACCTGTAGTGGGCTGGGTGGGGAAGGGCAGGAAGCAGTTATTTCCAAAAGACCTGGTAAAACTGGTCACTCCTGTTGTGTTTTATAACTGCCTACCTGACAGCTCTGCTTGGATGTCTAGACACCTCAGATACAACCCAGCTAAGTGACATCTATTGACTTTTTTTCTTTTTCATTTCTTAAATATTGAGGTGAAATTCACACAACATATAATTAACCATTTACAAAAAATTTTTTTAAAGACACGGGGTCTTGCTCTGTTCCCCAGGCTAGAGTGCAGTGGTGTGATCATAGCTCGCTTCAACCTCAAACTCCTAGGCTAAAGTAATCCTCCCACCTCAGCCTCCCAGGTAGTTGGGATTACAGGCATGTGCTGCCACATTCAGCTAATTTAAAACAAAATTTTTTTTGTAGAGATGAGTTTTTTTTTTTTTTTTTTTGAGACGGAGTTTCGCTCTTGTTACCCAGGCTGGAGTGCAATGGCGCGATCTCGGCTCACTGCAACCTCCGCCTCCTGGGTTCAGCCAATTCTCCTGCCTCAGCCTCCTGAGTAGCTGGGATTACGCGCCACCATGCCCAGCTAATTTTTTGCATTTTTAGTAGAGACGGGGTTTCACCGTGTTGACCAGGATGGTCTCGATCTATTGACCTTGTGATCCACCCGCCTCGGCCTCCCAAAGTGCTGGGATTACAGGCTTGAGCCACTGCTCCCAGCAGAGATGAGTTCTTGCCACATTGCCCAGGCTGGTCTCAAATACCTGGCCTCAGGCGATCCTCTTGTCTCAGCCTTTCAAAGTACTGGGATTACAGGTGCATGCCACTATGTCTGCCTAATTATTTTATTTTGTATTTGTAAAAACAGAAAAAAAAAATTAGCCAGGTGTGGTGGTTCGTGCCTGTAATCCCAACTACTGGGGAGGGTGAGGCACGAGAATTGCTTGAACCCAGGAGGCGGAGGAGGTTGCAGTGAGCCGAGATTGCACCACTGCCAGCCTGGGTGACAGAGTGAGACTCTGTCAAATTAAAAAAAAAAAAAAAAAACAATTCGGTGGTGTTTAATAAAGATACAATGTTGTGCGGCCACTGTATCTAGTTTCAAAGCATTTTTAGCCCCCCAAAATTCTTTTATCCCCCCAAAACCACACACCTATTAAGCAGCTCCTAGTCCAAGGCAACCACCAGTCTGCTTTCCGTCTCTGGACTTGCCTGTCGTGCACATTTCATATCCGCGGAGTTGTGCGACATGTGGCCTACTGCACTGGTGTCTCTCCCTCCGCGTGATGTGTTGAGGCTCCTCCAGGTCCCAGCCTGGGTCAGCAGCGCCTCATCCCAGGTGTGGCCCATATCATACTCCACTGCGTGAATGCCGGGCGTTGTGGATTCATTGCTTGTGGCCACTGGGCACTTGTGACTGCTGCTCTTGTAACCACACAGTGGGTTCATTTTCCCCATTTCCCAGATAGAGCCAATTTATCAAGAATGGGGAATTGCAGTAGAGAAAGAGTTTAATTCGCACTGAGCTGGCCGATCAGGAGAGTAGAGTTTGATTATTATTCAAATCAGCCTCCCCAGAATTCAGAGGCTAGGATTTTTCAAGGATAGTTTGGGGGGACCTGGGAATGAGTGCTGCTGATGGGTTGGGGGTGCAATGACAAGGGTGATATCTTC